AATGCTTTCTACTTACATAAGACATATTTCATAGAGAACTACTAAACAAAATACACAATTTGATATGTAGATAGATATTTAATCTAGAACACAGGTGAAGTGGAATGGGAAAACTTGAGCTTGATTTTTACTTCCTTCCAGGAGTAACAACACTTTAAAAGTAAATGACGTAGTGATGCCCTTGACTATTACTTGTTTTGGGTGTCTTTATTGTACTAGATCCATACTTTCAAAACTTACTGTCAACTCCAAAAATAAGTGAATCAAAGGAAGGATATTTAACATCCATCCTATTTGTGATAGGACGTAATCACTGGTAATACTAGCCATTTGTGTGACACAAGATATGAAAAGGATGAATAACAACTGGAAAGAGCTGGAAAGGATTGCCCAGGACTGGATGGAGAATGCTGGTGAGTGGCCTATGCTCCTTCACGAGGAGTAACAGGCGTTAGTAAGTAAGTGTGATACAACTAAGACTAATGAAGTAGGCAGTGAAACTAAGCTCCCTGATGTGAAAATTACTGCCTTTGATCTTAGTACTCGTCAAGTGAACCATATCAGTCAGTCAGCTACAACACAGGATAAGGCACATATATGCATCGATCCAAGTTGTCATACTTCATTAGCACAAGATAAACACAAAAATCATAGAAGCAATTAATTTAATGGTAGTAATATATAGAAAGAAAGATTGCGTATAAGGATATAATACAGAAAGAAAGAATTAGTTCGCATAAAGTAATTTTAATCTCACGGTTTAAGGGAAGACAAATAGTGTATACCCCTACACCATTGTGATAGATTCTGAGACATGTCACCCAGAGTCTCCAACCAATGGTTACGATAGTCGCGCACACCCCAACCAATTAGTTTGCATCTACCAACATGGCTCAGATTAGAAGTTAATGACTTTAAGGACTGATACCACGTTTTGGTTTGGCCACCCCTAACTTTCTTCCAACTATCCCCAACACTAGTCAGCGTTACGCGCCGCGGTAATTGATGTTCAGACGTACGCAACACGTGGCCCAACAATCTCGGTCGATGAAGATTCACAAACTCATCAAATGATTCACAATCATCATTCCCTAATACCCTTCATCTAACCTCACTATTACTTACCCAGTGATCCCAACAGATGCCAGCTATATTTCTAAGGCATCTATGGTCAAATACTAGTAACTTACGAGTATCTTCTACTCTTAACGGCCATGTTTCGCTGCCGTAAAGTAAAACAGAATGAACGATCGCGCAGTATACTCGTCCCTTAATTGATAGACGGATATCTCGCCTTTGCCACAGGTGACGTAAGTTGGCAAAAGCCAAACGAGTGTTTCGAATCCGTGCTGAAATTTCGTCAGACACCAACCCATTAGGGCTGATCAGACTTCCAGGATAAGTGAAGTTGTCAACGCGTTAGACTACTTCACTCCCTATCCTTAGTTCAGGTGTTGACGCAGACCAGTCCTGAAGCAACAACTTGCATTTAGGGTGGGAGAAGAGCATCTCAAATATTCTGGTATTATTGCTCAGTGCTACCAGAAGACTCTGCATTTTATTAACGTCTTCACCGAACAGGACTATGCCACCTGCGTATTCTAAGTCGATAAGTGGACCTCCTGGTAGGAGATCGATGCCCGAGAATTCAGTCGATGAGAGCGTTATTTCCATCAGTAGATCTATGATGAGGTTAAACAAAAATGGACAGCATTGACGGACACCACTCGAGGTTGCGAAATCAGACGACAGTTCGCCATAAGCTCTGACTCGACTAGTAGGAGTTCGAGTAAAGAGCCTTCATAAGGTTTATGTACTTTTGAGGTACACTGCCACAGAAATTCTCGGTCTACAGATTCACATGCTGCATTTAAGTCAAGAAAAACCGATATAACATGGTAGGATTTTAAGTAATAAATGTCCCAACTAATCTTAGTTAGGATGCTGCGAAATACAAAGTTGAATACTAGATAAAGGTAGCACAGACAGTTAGGATCAAGTAGGAACAATACAACAGTTTGAATGAGATCACTAGAGGATATCAACTAACTGAAATTCACGAAAAACCAAAACATGACATGTTAATGCCTATGGTTGACAATAAAACAATCCGTGGTAACTGGAGGTATCGAAGAGGACTCTGGAAATGTTAGCGGATAGCAGATACATGCGGAGCCATTTAGATAAGCAAAGATAACCTCACTTTTACTAAAATGAAGACAATATCGAATTCAGAGATAAAAATAGGTTGATATCACATTTTAACCCGAACCAACTGTATTATTTATTTTATTTTATTTTAACACATAAGTATAGGTACAGGGAAGCACCAAGTACATATGCGCCACACAAATCTCAATTGATTTGTGTGAGGGCTGTGATACTGCCCGGGTGCCCAAACCGAAGCAGGTGGTTTTCTTAAGGGGCCACACCCCGACCAACTGTATTAAAATGAGGGATAACAGGCAGCCCATACAATAGAATTGGTTTTAGGTTTATAATAACTGAGGATGTTCGAGAAGTCCGAAATGGTGAATCAAATCTAAAAATACATGGATATTTTTCAGGTAGTTGTATACTGGTCCACAAGAGACCAAAACATTTATGTTGGCTACGTAAAACCTTAAACATGTGTACTTCAAAACGAAATGAACTATTGTGTAGTATTGTTAACAACGGTCTTTTATCTTCCGAAAGACTTTATTACTTTGCCATAAACAGACTTATGTGCTTAGCTTTAAGCTAGGCTGAGTGAGGGATAGTGTAATTACGAACGTATCAAACTTGGAGCTTACTGGTTAAAAGTTAAGTGCATTTAACACAGTAATTAACCATTAAACAGACTAAATAATTCAAAAGCTTCCTAGTAAGCTCGTCTTTCTGTAGGATAAAACTCAGAAAACATGTAAGAAATAGAAAGTTTGTCATACAAGCAGTAACAAAGAATGAAACACAAACGCACGTCTCAATTCCTCCGACTTTAGCGAATTGAGCACGATACTCTCTGATACGAAGCATCATTTGAAGATTTCGAGCCACAGTTTGATCATACTGATTATTCTGTAAACAATAAGAAAAACAACTATTAGCCCATTGAGTTAGAAAGAATTTTAATTTAATACGTAACGATGAATATAAAACACGAAACAACGCGAATTATTTACTATGTACAGGATTATCTTGACTTTGGGTCCAACTGTTGGTTGTAGGGTTAGTGAAACTACCTGACTGTTTGAACCGAAGTGGGTGTTTTGTGGCAAGAAACATGAACATAAATGTAGAACGCACATTACGATGGATATATCCTCCCCTATCTGCAACAAACGGATACAATGTCTTTAAAGTATCACTGCCTCCAAATGCCTCGGTACGGTCGACAGTGGGGAGAGTCCTCTCTCCCTCTCGAAATGCTCTCATATGGCCACGCATATACAGCCACTGACAGGAAAGTACTACTCACTGCTTCCTCGCACCACGGTGTTGTTTACGAAATTGGGATAAAGAAAAGCGAATGTCCGGTGCTTTAACTGGATTGATGGACACTTAGGGGAGTTGGGAAACCATGATTCCAAGCCAATGGTGCACATAGGATCCAAGTAAAGACTTTGGATCAGAAGAATCCTCTTTGTATTCCAAACAGAGCAGAATTTAAAGGCCAAGAACGAACAGAGTTCTCATGATACACAGGTTTTCCAACCGCATGATTAACTGTCGGAACCTACAACCAGAAGTGATGTCCGGACCTTCAATTACTTATTCAGGAGGTTAGACAAAAGCAGACTTACAAGAACAGGACTAACACAGGCACCTCAACTTATATCCTCAAAGTGTAAGTTTTAACCTGATGTATAATAACTTTGATAACTTGAATTATAGATTTATCTATTAGATTCTATGGTGCAGTCTAAACCGAACTACAGGAACGAGTGACGAATCTTTATGGACAAGCTGAAAATCCAAAAATTAGCCTAGGTCTTAAGGCAAAAGACTGTGTACACGCGACACTCTAAAGTGAAAGTAAACTTACGGTTATTGTCAGTTGTTCACGTAGCCAATTTAAATAATAAATTAAGTCATTTTCCTCCATAAGCTGGGATGACCAACAAGCAAACTTTGCTATTATCCGAGAAGCTTGGTACATACAGAAAGGATCTCCTCTTTGAAAAAATCCGAAAAAATGAGACCAAAGTGATTCTTTTGATTTAGAGAAGTAATCACGAAAGATTTCAACACGTAATTTGTCTTCCTAAAACCCAATGACTAGTTAATTAATAACATACCTGAAGCATATCATCAATAAGCGTAAGGATATATCGTAATGTTTGTTCTTTCGAAATTTTATTTAGGATAAATACAAAAACCCTAGCGGTCTTTCGAACAATAAGGGCTGAAATGCCCACTTACCATGTTTTCATCAGCCCTAATTACATGATTTCGTGCTTCCGAAGTGGGAGCATTATCAAGTCGTGTTATGAATGAATACTGCTCATCATTAATTATCTGTCCTCTGAAACCAAATTGTACATCCACACATTTAAGAACTTACTGAAGGTAAGATTGCCAGTTTACTCGTGTTGATCTAACCTCAGCTGCTGTAGCCTGTAGAAAGCTGGTGGTTGAACCGACTAGATGTATATTAATGTATTGGAATGAATCTACTTGACGTGATGTCTTCAATATTCCCAACGCGAGCGTATTCCAACGACATCCCTGAAATTTCAAAACAGCCACCAAAATATTCAATTTACTGTGAACCAGTGTTTGGTCGAACCATATAAAACAACTTCAAGGCTACCCTAAGCGTGGGTTTTTTGAGGACTAAATTCCAAACCATTGTCTATTATTCTTGTGGATGTATTGTGCTATCATCATTCGAATGTCATGTTTATCATGTGTTATCACAGTTATCACCAGACTGTAGCTACATAGTAGCATTATTTATCGTGTGTGATTATTGTTTATTTTGAAAACATCGACAGTATTTCATTTAGTATCTGTCAATGCCAGACATTTCGGAGTACCGTCTCGGAAGCGCATGTAGAATAAATAACTCAGATCAGTTTTCAGAAAAGGCAGATTCTCAGGTTTCCAGTCTGGATCCATCTGGTTCGAATGCATTGAAACCTGGAGAGTGTACAGTTCCTGTTCAAGAATTGCAGCATGTAATCAGTGATAGGCCGTCTTCTGACGATGACGCTTCTAATAACAATAACCCAAATATGGAGGAGATCACCTGCTGTTGTCATGAAAGTAAAAGTAAGTTAGTTACACTAAATAGTATAAGCATTTCGGTAAAGCCATAGCATACAGACTGTTTTCAGTTAACTTACCAGATTTACGGTGATTCCTCATGTATTTTCCCAAAATCAAAAGCTCAGTGATAGATAAATTTTATGTTATAGTGAACGAAACAAATATTGGGAGTAGATTTGAGATTGTGCTTAAGTTGAATTACAATACATACTTGTCTTCAAACTTGAATGTGCGATGCAGTGCTTGACGTGATTCATTACGTAGTCAGTTTTGCTTCATGAGACTAGATAGTATTCCTTCACCCTGATCCTCTGAATCCCAATTCCAAGCTTAGGTTTGCAAACATAAGGTTGACAAAGCATAGAATTACAGATGATATCAGTTCGTGATGATAACTTCTACTCAAGGTGTGAAACTATTTCAGACCTCCAGCTTGACTCGTTATACTTTATCCTAACCTTTTCATCCTCTCTAGCGTTATTTGGTGACGAAAGTCACATGGTGTGCTAATTCTGACTCACAACAATATCCTTAGTCTTATTCTACAAAATTTATCCTTTTTCCTTTACTGCAAATAAAAATTAGACATATAAGGATTGGTCATTATGATCAGAGTTATTATTTCAATGTTGTAATATTGCTTTTCGTTGTTAATTCTTTGTAACTAGACTCCGTTTCCTGATTTGCTGACAGATCGCTCAAGGTCGTCAGTATAGTATACCTATACTGACGTTTCTCAAACCCGATGTTTTTATGGTTTTGTCTTTTCTTTAATGGGTTTCACTTTGCATTAGCTAAACGTCGTACGTACGCGTACTGTATATTCGGTAATACTGTTACTCCGGCATTTCATGTGGTCATTCACCGATACGACCATAGTTTCGATATTTTAGGGGTATTAATGATCATGTCTCTTTTAGTTACTATTAGAGTTCATTAAGAGATTGTCGGCACAAATAAGTCAGTCGAACTCGGCGCTCTTACGTGACTTTCAGTGGGTTCAGAAATAACATATACTTTCTTTTCACAGTGCTACATTGTTTACTGATTATATTATTATCATTTCCATGTATTTATGTTAGTAAATAGTTGTTATACAGCGAAAATTTTCGAGAACGATAAGTCTTTTTCGTTTCATGCTTTATGAAGTGGGACAAGCAAATGTGTATTGCTAAAGTCATTGTGTGTTTTTGTTTCCAATTTTGTTAAAATTGCCATTGAGTAGTGAATGTTGTAAGGTAAGGCAACTTGAACCGATGCATATATGTGCCTGGTCCTACGTTGTAGCTGACCGACTGACTGTTGTAAGGTGCTCATTGAATACTAGATTTCGATAGCTCACTTGTTTTAAAAAACCAAAGATGACCTTAACAGTCATTTTCATCATGAAAGTCCTCAGAACATCATGCATTTCTTATCATAATTTAGTGTTTTTGCTTTGTAAATTGAGTTGATGAGGGAAAACACCACTATCGTTCGTATGAGTCTAGACATTAATAGCAAATGGAAAAGGTTTATCTTATCGGCTGCTAACTTTAAGCTGTATAACCTAGCGCCATATAACCAGTTGTTAAACAAGATCTAGTTTTTTTTGCTGCTTCATTACCCACCCGAACACACTGAAGCAAAAATGTAATAGGTCGCTCACTCGTGCAACAAATAAAAGTTCAAGTTCCGGTATTTGTTTTGAGTATTCGATGTGGTTTTATGGGATACATCGCACATAAGTATTGAAACTTTTCAGTGTTAGCCAGATCTGTTTGTTTGGTGTTTATAATTTATTTATTTCTTCAAACATAAACATTGGTACAAGGAGGCACCAAATACATATGCACCACACCTCGTCATTCGGTTTGTATGAGGGCTGGACTACTGCCCGGTTGCTCGAACCAAAACCGGTGGTTCTCTTTGTGGGCCACACCCTGAGCCTTTGACCTACATGTCAGTGGGACAACCTTAGGAGATGCAGTCCCATAGTAGTCGGTGTGCAACAGTAGGTTGACACGCCATTCGTTCCCTCAGGATCCTGTGGTCCGTGTGCGGTATTCGTTTTTAATCAGAGTATTCCAACTCTAGATGAATCCTCGTGTTCACCAACCCGGTTAATGTGCCGGACATTCTCTTTTCCTCTGAATTTCGTAAACAACACTCTCTCCACGAGGTAGTCAGTAGAACTTTACTGTCAGTGGTTGTATGTACGTGGCCATTTGAGAGCATTTGGTGGTGTAGAGCTGATTTTCCCCACTTTCGACCGTACCAGGACATTTGTTGGCACGAAGTTATCAACTATGAAGCTGTTTAATTCATTTTGGTATGCATTAATTCAAGTTTGTCGCACGTCAATATACGACTCTTCAAAACCAACAACTTAGGAACCCAATGCTATTTGCATATATCGAAACGTGCAGAAGAGACGAACTACTGAGAGCCCCCAAATGCCCTGGTACGGCCGAGAGTAGGGAGAGTCAGCTCACCCTCTCGAAATGCTCTCACATGGCCACGCATATATAGCCTTTGCCAGGGAAGTAGTACTCACTGCCTCCTCGCACCACGGTGTTGTTTACGAAATTGAGAGGACGAAAAGCGAATGTTCAGCGCTTTAACCGGATTTTAAACCAATGGTGCACATGGGCTCCAGTATCCTGAAAGAACAAATGGCGTATGAACCAATCGTTGGTCACCGGCTACCATGGGACTGCATCTCCTTACGATGCTCCACTGCCTTGTGGGTCAGACGTTCAGGTCGAAGGCTCGGGGTGTGGCCCTCTAAGAAAACCACCTGCTTCGGTTTGGGCACTCGGGCAGTATCATAACCCTCACACATATGAAATTAGATCTGTGTGGCGCATATGTATTTGGTACCTCCTTGTACCAATATTTATGTGTTAAAATAAATAAATAAAATAAGAACTACTGAGAGGAGTTCAAGTTTAAAATTCGGGCGAAAAAAATCATTAATCGCATGTATAAAAATATTATCAGCATGCGAAACCAACTCCCTTATAAAAATCTAATCTAAGACCATGAGTCTGTGTTAGGAGCTTTGCTAATATTATTTGGGGTTAGAGTTTTTGCACGGTCTATGATAATTCCTGAATAACCGGGTCGAATTAGGTTTTTCTTGGTAGTTTTAGTCGACTTCGAAAGAATTTCGGCTTATATTTAAGGATATGTATATGTACTCTGGTAGTAAATTACACGATATTGAATTTAACCTGAACTTTCAGCCTAAAAATCGAGTCCACAAGGTATTAAAACATCAAGAGTTTCATTTACCATGTGGTCTGCGTCATTTCTTCTGAATTCTGGAGTCTAGGTGGACCATTACTTCGGAGTAAGTTTCTTAACTTCTGTATTTTCCAGCCTGGTTTATTCGCCAGATCTTTATGATTTAACTTATTTAGGATCACTCTTTCCAAATAAACTATTATAGAAGTTGAGTTTCAAATTCACCGACGCGTTTTGATTGTTAAAATAATGAATAACATGGCGACAGAATGGTGATATGTGGGGGTAAAATGTGACTGGCTAACCGCTGATGACGAGACTGGATTACTAGCACGAACCCTCAAGTTGATTCACCTGCTCAGCAAAACAGATTTCTTCGATCAAGTAACATTTAGGTACAAAATATCAAACATAAGTAAACATGATTACGCGTCATTTAGCATATAAATGATCATAGGATGCTAGTTCTGTTTACCATATACATGTACGTCGAATCATTACAATGAAACTGTCCTGCAATAGTTATTAAACATACAGACCAACTTTTTTTTCGTTTTTCTTGATTCTTTAGTACTGTCTGTGTGTATTATATAAAAAACAAATAATGTACCTTTCTTGTACTATCTATCTGTTTCAGTTGATTTAAGTGATCATGGTTAGCGTTTTTTAGCGATTTAGTTTTCTACGGGATGAGGTCGCTAACCCCATGCCCAACCCTCCTCCTTTACTCGGGCTTGAGACCGACAGTAACTCTAGAAGAGCTACAGGCGGAGTTAAGTGGTCATGACTTTTATCTACAAATGCCTTCAATTTTTCTACAAATTGAGGTTCAATTATATTGTAATACCTCATACCTTTTACGAAAAATCAACCATTACTGTTTAGTGACTGGATTACTAATACTTCATATTTATGCATACTTTAAAATTTCCTCACCTAAATAACAAACATGACATTCCGTTCAACTTGATGACTGAAAATTTTCTTGATCCTACCAAGCCATAGCTGTTTTATTAGTGCTAATTATGTTACCCGACTTCTCCAACTAGATTATGAAAAGTTGTTTCAAAGTTTTCGTAACCGTTTACCTAAATGACGAGTCAGAGTTCTTTCAAGTGACAAAAACGGTGTAAATAAAAGTATTTTAAATATCCACAAAATAATAGCATAAATATTCTCTAAACATCTATTATTATCATTATTATTACAGATGAATGCGGTATACTCAATGATTCAAATTCATCATCTTGGTTGCGACGTCTATTTACATCAAGCTTATTTAATTTAGATATGACAATTCAATATTTATTTAAATCAGAGGATGTAAATGTACAAATGTATTTGGGTAAGTGTGATTTATTGATAATAATCAGTAGTAGGGTCGTGGAAGCACACTAAAAAACTTATTTATTAGGCAGTTGGGTATAAGCCACATTGAAAGTGCAAGAGCTAATGACAATATCTGGTTACTCTAACGGAAGTTGATGGAGTGGAGTTCAAACTAGTGTCTTACTGACCGAAAGTCAAGCATCCTGACCAATAAGTCACCACTCCACATGGCAACCATCCAGTGACCATAGGTTCCCAATGGATACCTAACTTAGATCGGTTCATGATCCAATAACTGAATTTATAATGACAATCTATTTATTTCTATTTATATTAACTGACCAATGATCATTTTGTTTTAAACTTTATGTTAAAGCTGATTTTATCATAATGACTTGTAAATTAAAGGATTATTGCTTGTGTGATTACAGCAATTGGCTTTTAATTACTAGGTTGAAGGTTCTAATCTCGCTCCATCTATTTCAGTTTGGGCAACAAGTTATGACTCCAAGCTTTGTTGATAAACATATACTTGATAAATTTGAAACATTATTTCGATTTACAAATTATCTATTCTTCATTATTACTACACTATCTACTATTCAAACCAATTGAGCATTAGAAATAATCTTGAATTTTAATGAATAATTTTATTTTTATTTAAATACATAAATACTGATACAAGGGGGCACCAGATATATATGCGCCACACTAATCTCATTTGATTTGCGCGAGGGCAGTGATACTGCCTGGGTGCCCAAATTGAAGCAGGTGGTTTCCTTAGTGGGCCACACCCCGAGCCTTCGACCTAAAGGTCTGACCCACAAGGTAGTGGGGCAACGTCAGGGAATGCAGTCTCATGGTAGCCGGTGACCAATAATTAGTTCATACGCCATTTGTTCTTTCAGGATACTGGAGCCAGCCCATGTGCACTGTTGGTTTGGAATCGTGGTTTTACAACTTTCCGTGTCCACCGACCCGGTTAAAGCGCCGAACATTCGCTCTTCGTCCTCTCAAGTTCGTAACCACCCCCCACAAGAAGACAATGAGTAGGACCTCCCTGGCAGATGCTATATACGCGTGGCCATGTGAGAGCATTTCGAGAGGGTGAGCGGACTCTCCCCACTCTCGATCGTACCAAGTCATTTGGGGCTTTAATGAATAAAACATGCAAAAGATGTAAATGTTGTACACTTCAGTGTTAAATCTCTTCACTTGTCTAGAATATACTCTTATCATTACCAAAACAATGAAATGCCATTACAATTATTCATTAAAGATTTCAGTGTATATAACATTGTATATGAGAAAAAAGTTCAGCTGTTATCAGTTCATATACATTATCTTGATTCATTTTTCTTCACTTTGTGTAACAGCTGATCGATTATTTGGTTTTCCAGAATCTGATGTAGACTTTTACTTATTACAACTTGTTTCTCTCTATGAAAAATCGCCTTCATTAGCTGAACACTTAACTAATTATTTTATATATCGGTAAGTATTTTTCAAATTTTTATATTAATGATAACATATGTTGTATTTTATGGTATAGCGAAAACTATAATATCGAGAGTGGTGGTTAATGAGTAATTTTCTGTTAGTGGTGTGCTCTCTAATTTAGATGGTTTTATTGTGAAGCTCCCATTATCTATTCAGGTGTCATTGTTAGATTAGTTCATTCTAATGACCTTGTTTAATTGTCCTTAAAAGTATCCAAATTGATTGATCCGCTGATTTAATTTCTGACCCTACAACTAGTTGACCTCGATTGTATAAACTGAATCTATGAATCAGAATTTTTTTTTTTGAGTGTTTCAATAGAATTCACATCCACACGGATCAATAGTAAAGATATTTTGTTGCTTGACTGCCAATCTATGTCTTTAGGTTCATGGCCGAGATAAGTCTCAGTCATTCAGTCAGCTGCAACACAGGATAAGGCACATATATGCATCGGTCCAAGATGTCATACCACGTAAGCACAACAAGATGAACACCGAATTCATAGAAGTAGTTAATTTAGTGGTGGTAATATATAGAAGAAAGATTGCATATAAGGACATAGTACAGGAAGAAAGAATTAGTTGGTAGAAAGAAAGATATGAAGCGATTTTAATCTCTTAGTTTAAAGGAAGACAGAGAGTGTACACACCTACACCATTGTGATAGATTCTGAGACATGTCACGCAGAGTCTCCAACCAATGGTTACGATAGTCGCGCGCACCCCAACCAATTAGTTTGCATCTACCAACATGGCTCAGATTAGAAGTTAATGACTTTAAGGACTGATACCACGTTTTGGTTTGGCCACCCCTAACTTTCTTCCAACTATCCCCAACACTAGTCAGCGTTACGCGCCGCGGTAATTGATGTTCAGACGTACGCAACACGTGGCCCAACCATCTCAGTCGATGAAGATCCACAACCTCATCAAATGATTCACAATCATCATTTCCTAATACCCTTCATCTAACCTCACTATTACTTACCCAGTGATCCCAACAGATGCCAGCTATATTTCTAAGGCATCTATGGTCAAATACTAGTAACTTACGAGTATCTTCTACTCTTAACGACCATGTTTCGCTGCCGTGAGGTAAAACAGAATGAACGATCGCGCAGTATACTCGTCCCTTAATTGATAGACGGATATTTCGCCTTCGCCATAGATGACGTAAGTTGGCAAAAGCCAAACGAGTGTTTCGAATCGTGCTGAAATTTCGTCAGACACCAACCCATTAGGGCTGATCAGACTTCCAGGATAAGTGAAGTTGTCAACGTGTTCGACTACTTCACCCCCTATCCTTAGTTCAGGTGTTGACGCAGACCAGTCCTGAAGCAACAACTTGCATTTAGGGTGGGAGAAGAGCATCTCAAACATTCTGGCATTGTTGCTCAGTGCTAACAGAAGACTGCATTTCATCAGCGTCTTCACCAAATAGGACTATGTCATCTGCATATTCTAAGTTGATAAGTGGACCTCCTGGGATGAGTTCAATGTCCGAGAACTCAGTAGACGAGAACGTTATTTCCATCAGTAGATCTATGATGAAGTTAAACAAAAATATAGTTAGTACTTGTCTCCTTTTTGTACAATTTTACTTGTGAATACTGTTGGGTTTATGATATCTTCATTTCTTTGTTCTACATAAAGTTTAACGAAATGACTATCTACTAATGAGCGGTATTAATTTCAAAAAATTTCGAAGTCAACCAAGAAACCCTAATTCTCTGCTTTAATTGTTTCCCATCTAAAATCCAGTTCAAAATGTTTATTCAGTTTGGTTATTTACATTCTAAAATGCAATTATCTTACACGCTGTCAACCAATATTATCCTATTTATAGTAAAGAATAATGTCACTTTACAGTTGATTGATTATTGAGTGTATAGTGATGTCATATCTGCTTAGTCTTTTAGTGCTGCTCAAAGTTTATTTGTCAGGTTACCATGTAGATATTAATCTAAGTGACTTGACATTACTTACACCATGTTGAGATGATAATTAACCGAAGGTAGCCGACAGGGAACTCTACTTGATCTAGGTTTCGTGCTGGTTAGTACTCATCACCAAGGCGTACCTGCTGTCTTTAAGGAAGTGATATTTCCTGTGGTAGTTGAATCCATATCACCAAGCTCCATTGTTTGATATATTACCACCGAGCTATTCGGGTTGAGTTTGATCCCTTGTAATGCTCAGATGTCTAGTATTTTAACATAATACAGAATATGTCGAGTTATCTAGACTAGTGGTCACATCACAACTTAACCGATGGAACATAGTCAGAAGTACGTTCTTTGATATGCATAGAATTCAGTGACATGGTTGTTTGTTAACAAAGGATTTTGGAATCGTAGTTATACTTTCTGAATTTTTGTTATGTATGTATTTAGATGGTCAACCACCTCCCACCTTAAGATTTTTTGGAGATATTCAAGAGATAATAGACTGATCTAACAGGGATTTATAAATAAAACGGTGAAGACAGTTCTTTGTGTGGAAGGCAATTTGATGGTGAATTTTTTCACTTTTGTCCTGTAATGATCTCTCACTCCTTTGAACAGTGACTGTCTTGGAATCCAGTGTTTTACTCAGTTGCTTCTGTTGTAACCAAGTATCTGACCCCTGTTCGATCTGTTTGTGTTTTCTGATAGTTTTCCACTCATCCTGATGATTATAGTATCTAAGATTAGCATTAATGTCTCGTAAATTGATGGGGTAGTTGCGTAATTTTGTTATGTCTCAATTGCTTATAAATTTCTTGTTGGAGTTGCTGAAAGTTATGTGATTGACCGTAGATCAATATCTAATTTGTATGCATTTATATGTTAGACAGTTAAAAGTAGGTGAGAGAGATGTCTGTATGGCAATCGTTTGCAACACATCCCCGTAATATTGAGTGTACTGGTGTTTCTTGTGAGATTTGAACCTGGTCACCTAGCTTCATAGTCTGAAACGTTACCACTGAGGTACTCGGGCTGTTGTTTACTTTCCATAGGACTGAGACGTATTTACAAATGGATGGTCACTGCATTGTGATCAATGTTATGTTTGTCTAATTCTTAAGTACTGATCATCCATTAAAAGCATGTGAGCAATGGACAGCTGTTCCAGTCTAGCATGGAACTTTTTAGCAGCGAGCCTCCATGACCACAGGGGAAATCGAACCCACGACCTTCGGTTTTGTGGTGAACGCTTAACCTCGAGATCATTGAGTTGATGTCCTATAATGTGCTTGTCTAATTTCAATCAATTGGCGTTATAGTTCAACCATCTTCCTTTGTGTTTGATGGTTACCTTCTTCACATCTGACATGGTTGGACTCCACTAGTCATGGTTTCTCTCAATTAAGTTACATGTACATATGTTTATCTACTATTTATTCACATCATACATTTTTATCTTTTTTTTTCCCTTTCAGATGTACAAAATCTGTTTCATTTGCAATAAATCTTGTTTGGTTATTGGATACATTCAGTTCACATTCATATAATCCATTGAAACGTGTCTCATCTATTCTACTTAATCGTCCATCATCAGTACCAATATTCTCTTATGTATCTAATCAATTGTATTTAATGAATTCCAGTGATAATTCTCAATCAATCAATACTACTACTACTAATAATAATAGTAAATTTATTAAATTAAAATCTAGTTCATCGGCTATTACACCTTTACAAGAATTAGATTATCATAATAATAATAATAATAATGATGGTAATGAAAATTACAGTACAAATATGGTTCCTACACCTATTACAACTACGACTAATAATTCAACAGAATTGTCCAATGATAATCGATTTGTGTATACTGCACAAACTTTAAGGGATTTATTGCTACCGATTGATGAGACTACATGGGGTAGTTTTATTCCACAATCAATAGTCAATGGAAGGTATGTATGTATGTGTGTGTGTGTGTGTGTATCTACGTAAAGTTATAAATTTTCCTATATTATTGACTAACTTCTGTTCATTTAAACTTTGTTTTTCTAACCTAAGAAGTAGTAAGTCTATTGATACATTATAGTTCAGTGTTAGTGTTATATATTGAACAGAGTGATTTGTTAACCGTAAGGCGAGTATGATGCATAACAATTCATTTTGTGGCTGTAAAACATAACTTTTAAAGGTAGAAGATATTTATAGCTTATTAGTACTGCCTGGATATACGTTTGAACTACCGAGTTAGCGATTATTGGAACTAGATTAGATAAAGACAGCAAATCAATCGGTAGTATAGTGAATCTTCATCGAGTGAAATGATTGGGGCATGCATTATGTGTGCTCAAACACTGCATACCTTACCGTGTAATGCTTGAGGGTGTAGCAAGTTTGAAGTGACTGGGATTAGTCTGTGAAGTCATTCATTGTTGGACTGAACCTTGTTAGTAGATGTTGACGATCTGGTTGTGATGATATGAGTAAGAGTTTATGGTATTCATCTTGGCAATTTCTATTCTCTGTACTGATGTGTAGCAACATCAACCGATGCACATATGGGCTAAGTCCTACATTGTATCTAACTGACTGATACAATATATTACTTTGGTCTTTAATATTACTGATTATTATAAAATAAAGCAAGTGTGAATTAAGCAGACCGTTCACTTCATACAGATTACTTTACCATGTTACTTTCGTATTTATTTATTTTAGCTACAACATGGGATCGTATAATAATGTTAATACTCACTATACACATAATACTTCTTCTCCATTATCTAATTGTAAATTATCTCCAAATATTCATCATAATATCGGGCATAAACGAAGTACATCTGATGTAACAAGTAAGTAGGAGATTATTTAATTACTTCATATGTTTTATTCCACTGATAAATTATTTTTTAGTCAATACTTAGATTAGTTATATTCTGTAATGTACATCACTAACTGATCTTAATTAGATAACCATTGAAAACTAAGAAGTAATGGGCAGTTGTTACGTCCTGATATGGAACCCTCAGCAGCTTACATCTATAACCTCATCAGGGATCAAATCCAGGCCTCTCGGCGAACCCATGACCTTAAGACTACTAGGCCGGAATCTAATGATGTACTTATCCAGAGCAATAAAGTACAACCATCTTCCAACTCGATTGATCTGGCATAATTAAAATCCATTGATAACGGCTTCTCATTAAAGTTTCGGGAATCATCTGTTGAAGTTAACCACTAGCATGAACATTATTATTAATAGTATATGGTTGATAATAATAAGATTACTCCAGATTGTTAAATTATCAAGTTTACATGAAAAAACTAATCTTAGTTAAACAGCCATTGTAAGCCAAGAAATATTCAACAACTGTTTTGTCTTAATATGGGCCTCCTTAGTAGATGAAAAACTAAGTTGCTAAATCACTAATTTTTACTTCAAAATTGTTAGCTTCTGTCTAATTTCATTGTCTTCATATGCTCTCCATCCTACCCTCCTTTGTACACACTGTTGGTTTAATCTTATACTACATTGTTTTACCTTTCATTATCAAAAAGTGTTTATTACAAAGGGGTATAGGTTATCAGTCAATTTTAATGAATCATAAATAGTTTTTCTGTGACAACAACTTTCATTCACTTAACCAATACGTTTTACAGACAGGGTAGTTCAGCGATGTTTAAAGCTAAGACTTGTCTTAAATTTATTTATTCATTTAAACACATAAACATTGATATAAGGAGGTACCAAATATATATGCGCCACACTTAATTCGAATTGTATGAGGGCTGGGATACTACCCGATCGCCCAAACCGAAATAGGTGCTTTTCTTAGGAGGCCACACCCCGATCCTTTGACCTAGATGCCTAATCCAAAGGATGGTGGAGCAACGTTAAAAAAATGCATTCCCGTTGCAGTTGATGAGCAGCAATAAATTGATATGCCATGTATTCCCTCAGGATCCTGTAGTCCATGTGCAGTATTGGTTTGTAATCAGGATATTCCAACTCCCCTAAGTTTACTTTCCGTGTCCACCAACCCGATTAAAGTGCCGGACATTCTCTTTTCGTCCTCTCGATTTCATAAAAAATACCCTCTCCGCGAGGAAGTCAGTAGAACTTTAATGTCAGTGGTTGTATGTACGTAGTCATGTGAGAGCATTTAGAGATGTAGAGCTGACTCTCCCCACCATCGACCGTTCTAGGGGGTTTGGGGGCTCTTGTCTTAAAATTAGATGATTTCACTTTTAAACACTCGTACAAGAATGTATGTTTGTGTTAGTAAATTCTTGTCCTATTTTGGAAATTCTAACAAGTACATGTTCTCAGGTAAATTAGATATCGTGCACAAGGCTATCTTATATTATTGATGAATATGATAACTTTAGACCATAATGTTCCAAATTTTTAACTTCAGTCGTAACGTTCATACGACCATGGTTAGTTCCTAGTGAAAACCATCATAGAACTCATGTTATTTCCACAAATAACTAAGTAAACTATTATTATTGTTTGGGCGAACGGGTTTATGTAAGCTAACATAATTAATAGATGATCTATGTAACAGGCATCCAAATCAAAGCAGGTGGATTCTTAGTTGGGTCACTCCTTTGACTTAGAGGTCTATTCTATAAAACAATAAAACGACGCCGGTAGATACAATGTCATGATAACCTGTAGCCAAAATATGCTTGTTCTTCATTCGTTCCGTTAGTATCCTGGAGCCTATATATACGTTTAGTTTAAAATCAGGGTTTCACAACTCCCCCCTTATAAACCCTTCGGATCAACTAACCTGACTTAAGTGCCGGTTTGTCCACTTTGTGCTCTCTTACTTTTTTAAAAAAAAACCCACCCACTTCATGTAAAGTCAGTTAGTTGGCAGAACTCCTTCTAACACATAGACTATAAACACATAATTTCATTGAGAGTCTTTCAAGGTAGGAAAAGTGAACTTACACCATTCTCAACTGTGCCAGAATATTTAAAGGAATAAACACCACCCTATGATAAATATAGCTCTTAGTTTTACACAATTAACATTATATTGTAATCCATAGCATAAGTTAATCAACTTAGAAACAGGAACGAAAAAAAAACATTAAGAGCATAAGAAAGATTTAAAATCTGATTTTTTTCTTTTTTAATCAATAAATGTTTGTGTGTTAATTACCATTATTGTTGTTGATTATATTCCTTTTACTATTTAATTATTGTCATTCATATACTGGTTCATTCTATTTATTATTCTTATTATTAATTGTTTTTTACTCGTGTGTGTGTGTGTGTATGTATTTATGTGGTAAGAAAGTGAGGAATCGATTTTATTCCAAGTAATAAACACATTTGTTTTATTGTGTGTATTTAGGAAATATACATATTAGTAACCATGTATATTTGTGACGGTTAACAGAACCCTATTAACATCAGACAGTCATCTGATGAATAAGTGGTAATTTAAAAAAGAATTATACACAAATATATATATATATATATATATATATATATATATATATATATATATGTAGCGCGCTCGAACAATGTTATCTCATCAGTCAGGTGAAAACATAAAGTCAGTCAGCAACAACATAGGATCAGGCACATATATGCATCGGTCTAAGTTGCCATACATCACTCATTAACACAACAAGATGAACACCAAATTCATAGAAGTGGTTAATTCAGTTGTAGTAATATATAAAAGAAAGATTACATATAAGGGTATAGTACAGGAATAAAGAATTAGTTCGTAGAAAGAAAGATATGAAGCGATTTTAATTTCATAGCTTAAAAGGAAGATAGAGAGTGTATACATTGATGGCATTGTGATCGATTCTGAGCGATGTCACACAGAGTCTCCAACCATTGGTTACGATAGTTTCTCCGACCTCAACCAATTAGTTCGCATCTACCAACATGGCTCAGATTAGAAGTTAGTGACTTAATGAACTGATGCTGCGTTTTGGTTTGGTCGCCACTATTTTTTCCTCAACCATCCCGAGCGCTAGTCAACATTGCGCGTCGTGCTATTATGTGATGTTCGGATATACGTAAGACGTGGCCCAACCATCTTAGTCGATGAAGATTCACAACCTCATCAACTGATTTACGATCATCATTCCCTAATACCCTTCGTCTAACCTCACTATTACTAACCCGGTGATCCCGGAAGATGCGAGCAATGTTTCTAAGACATCTGTGGTGAAATAATACTAGCTTAAGAGTATCTTGTACTGTTAATGGCCACGTTTCGCAGCCGTAAAGTAAAAGAGAATTCAACTTACCTATTCACTGATTCTTCTAGTATGAATCACACTCCAAGTGTAAGAGGTAACAATAGTACTCAGTTGGTTAAACCTGATATAGGTGTATCTGGGTTCTAATCTGAAATGTTTTTAAGAGTTATTACTCCGGGAGTTCTGTGGAAACTATGAAATTTTCACAGCTTTATATCACGGATTGACTACAGTTGGGCACAATCAGTGGAAATCAGGACGGAGTAGACAGTTGTTTTAGCCGGGTATAGGGCTACTTAGCAATGCACATCTGTGACTTCATCAGGTGTGAAACTCAAAACCTTAAGGTTTTGCAAATATCGCCTAACCATCAGACCATTGAGCCGACATCCACTGGTTTACATGTGTAATTTCAATCAATTTACGTTACCGTGTAACTGTCATTCAATATCATTGGTAAGTGACTGTCCCGTTACAACATGTTCGAACTCCATTGTTTACGGCTGCTCATCATAACTTTGTGAATGACTTCTCAAAACTAGTCATTAGTAGCGCTGTATTTGCTGAGCTGGTTAGCAGAATTACGAAGATCTGATTATCGTCCTAGACAACATCGTCACTATCTACTTCAAACTAATTCCTCCATTGTAAGCTGAGTTGAATGGTGACCAGCAATGAAATCCAGGACTTCTGTTTCGTCCTATTTGAGACTCATCAGCTGGATATAGCTGTATTCCGGTGTTGTTGTTCACTCCGGTACTCGAACCCAGTACCGTTCGCTTCAAATGCTAACACATTATCCACTCAACCACCTATTTCAGATAGCTACTGGTTTGTGCAATAGGTTAAATTTTGATTCATTCGTATTGATTATTTAAATCTTTCCATTTATATTGAAAACTTCAATTGATCAGTTCATTTTGTCCTATGAACATCTCGTACGGATTACCTCAATATTCTCATTAAGTAACAAACATTTTGAGTAAAATTAATGGTTATTTATTGTTTTGCTTTATAGTATTTATAAGTTTATTCAATGTTTAATTGAAATTGTATTCCATGTTTTATCTTTTCTTTTGAATACCCCACCACCACACACACACACACATACACACACACGCACGTGCGTATAGGTTTAAGAAATTATCATTATTATGTAGATAAATCCAGACATCGTGTTGTTATGGATCAATTAGATCTAATGAATAATACTGAAACAAATCAATCTATAGTAACAATAATTTCTAATCCAAATCGTTGGTCATCATCATCACAAGATTCAGCGGTTTGTTTATCAACTAATGATGTAATCAATGATGATCTTGTAAATAATTCACTAACAACTATTTCTAATAATATAACAAATCAAATAACATTAAATTCAATATGTCCTATAATAAATCATTTATCAAATCAAATCAATCCTTTATTAAATGAAAATCGACATTCATTACATCAATTACATTTGAATAATAATAATAATAATAATAATAATAATAATACCAATCTTGATCCAAATCTACTTAAATCAAGTATGAGTATGAATAAGGTATGTAATAAGTGTTGAGTAATGTAATTTTTGTTTATATTTTGAATTGTTCAGCACAGTGTATTTACTTACTTACTTATTGCTTGTTACTCCCAGTGGAGTATAGGCCATCGAACAGCATTCTCTAACCAACCCACTCTGTCCTGGACCTTCTTTTCTAGTTCTATCCAATTCTTGTTCATTTTTCTCATATCTATCTCCATTTCTCTGGGTAATGTGTTCTTTGGTCTTTCTTTTCACCTTTGACGTCGAGGATTCCAAGTGAGGGCTTGTCTTGTGACTCAGTTGCGTGCCTACCTCAATGTGTGTCGTATCCACTTCTAGCGCTTCTTGTTGATTTCTTCCTCCGCTGGGATCTGGTTCGTTCTCTCCAAAAGTAGGTTGTTACTGATAGTGTCTGGCCAACCGATCCGAAGTATTTTACAGAGACAACTGTTAATAAACACTTGTATCTTCTGGATGATGGCTTTCGTAGTTCTCCAAGTTTCCGCCCCATACAGTAGAACTGTCTTCACATTTGTATTGAAAATTCTGACTTTGGTGTTGGTTGATAGACAATTGTTTTGAGTTCGAGATGTTCTTCGGTTGTAAATATGCTGCTCTTGCTTTGCAGATCTGCACATTCACATCTGCATCAGATCCACCGTTTTCATCAATGATGTTACCCAGATATGTAAGGGTTTTTACATCTTACAAATCTTCTTTGTCAATTGTGATTGGATTGGTGTATGTTGTGTTGTATCGGAGAATCTTACTTTTCTTTTTGTGTATATTGAGACCTACTGCTGCTGAGACTGCTGCTACACTGGTCGTCTTCTTCATTTGTTGTTGCGTGTGCGACAACATACTCTGAGATCTAATGATCCTAGATCTGTTCTTAATTGAATCACATATGAGCATTGGTTAAGTGTCACAGACTAGAATGAAGCGGTTATCCACTTCCTTCCTCGTCCAGAATGTGTATGTACGTTAAACACTCACAAAATGCTATGTAGTTTTAAGAGAATCATATGGTATGGTTAACGAGATCTTTTAAAAGTAATATTCATCAATCGTTCATGATATTTCCTTATATTTGTTTCGTTTTCGAATTGATTAGTCACTATGTAGTAGTGATTAAGGTCATTTTTGTCTGGTTCTTGAGTGCTGATTATATTCTACCGATCAGGTTGCGATGTGGTCACTAGTTTAATTAACTGAACATCTTGTGCACCACGTTGATATATTAGAGGACGGCTGAAAGTAATTGACAGGAAACTCTTGACCACTGCTCAGTAATAAATCAATTTTGCAAACATATCAATCCCACAAAGAAAATCATGCACAACGTGAATAGCTTGATGGTAATGTTTCGGACTTTGAAACTGAGTAATTCATAGTCGAATCGTTTGGGAAGCATTAGTTCTATCAAGGTTACTGATGAGTGCCTAATAACACGAAACCTAAATCCAGGGAGTTTAATTCGAAATGATACGCAAAACAAGAAGACGAAACAATCTTTTTAACATAATAGTTAAGATTTATTAGTATTAGGTCTTGTAAAGAAAGGGGGGGTGAAATTACAGATGATAATGAAGAGACAATAAATAACAATACACTACTACCAAATGATTAATAATAAAGGATCCTAGTTGGCATGAAATGAAAGTTAACGTCGTGAGAGAATATCAGTGAGATTTTTCTACTTGAAGTTGTAAAGAGATAATGTGACTGACAAACGTTAAAATAATAGAACTATTTTACTATGGTAACGAGAGATTTACCCTACTTTTTTTCGGCATACTAATGTCAGGACGAAATCGTTTAATGCCGATGACCTCTAGAAAGCGAAGCAAATGTGTTCTCTGCCTGTTAATTATTTTAAACGCTTCTGAGTCATCCACGTTTTGTCCATTATTCATCAAATATCGAGTGATCACACTTGCAAATACTTCCTTTCAGACACAACTGACGGTGAATATGTCACGAAAACCTTGTTGATGCACTTCTGTCATTCATTCAAATGTATATGTTTTCACAACTATATGTAAATTTGTAAATAAATTTGTCGGTGACCTCAGATCCACTGTTGATTTTCCTAAGGAAAATCTGATGTTAAACATCAAAACAATTAAACAGGAAGAAATCTTCTCTTTAGCTCTTCGCTAATCCTTTTGTCGATCCTTCGTGATATCTTCGCACTTTTGAATGCAATTTATTTATTTATTTATTTTAACACATAAGTATAGGTACAGGGAAGCACCAGGTACATATGCGCCACACGAATCTCAATTGATTTGTGTGAGGGCTGTGATACTGCCCGGGTGCCCAAACCGAAGCAGGTGGTTTTCTTAGGGGGCCACACCCCGAGCCTTCGACCTGAACGTCTGACCCACAAGGCAGTGGAGCATCGTGAGGAGATGCAGTCCCATGGTAGCCAGCGGGTGACCAACGATTGGTTCATACGCCATTTGTTCGTTCAGGATACTGGAGCCAGCCCATGTGCACCATTGATTTGGGGTCTGGTTAAAGCGCCGGACATTCGCTTTTCGTCCTCTCATTTTTGTAAACAACACCCCCGCCACGAGAAGGCAGTGAGTAGGCCTTCCTGGCAGAGGCTATATACACATGGCCATGTGAGAGCATTTCGAGAGGGAGAGCGGACTTTCCCCACTCTCGGCCGTACCAGGGCATTTGGGGGCACTTTTGAATGCAAGACAGATGAAAACTGGTTTTTGTTGACAGTTGTTTGTTTTGGACTTCTTGTGGCGTAGGTGAGATATCCGTCTAGTAACCAAAGGACGAGTTTACTGCGCAGCAGTTCGTTCCGTCCTACTTTATAGTAGTGAAACATAGCCAGTAAGAGTAGAGGATATTCGTAGGTTACTAGTATTTAATCATAGGTGTCTTCGAAACATTGCTCGTATATCCTGGGACCACCGAGTAAGTAACTCAGTTGTTAGGAAACGGGTACTAGGTAAGGATGGCAAATCAATTGACAAAGTAGTGAAACTTGATCAGTTGAGATGGCTGGGACATGTGTTGCGCATGCCAGACCACCGACTGCCACGACGTGCGATGTTTTATGGTGTAGGAATAGGTTGGAAGAAAGTTAGGGGCGGCCAGACCAAAACATGGCACAAATCCATGAAGTCACTGACAAGTGGACTGAGCCATGTTGGTAGATGTAGACTACCTGGTTGGGGACGGCGAGATGATAGCAACCGTTGGTTAGAGACCTTGAATGACGTGGCTAAAAATCGTTTGCAATGGCGCAGGTGCATTCACTCTCTGTGTTCTCCCAAACTCTAATCTTCTGAATTCTCCATGTCCTTTATTTTCTTTCTAAATCTATTCCACTGGACTATACTCCTTAAATAACATCATCAAACCTTAATATTCCCTATCACTACTTATACTTTCACGACCTCTACCTCTACGGGATTTGAGACGGTAACTGAATCTCTGTGCTAATGTGGTATGGCAACTCGAACTTATGTACGTACATACGAAGTTCCACGTTGTTTCTGACTGACTGACTTCATAATAAAAGGTGCCTTATAAAAAATGGATATTCAAAGAATGTAATTCAAGCTCCATTCGGGACTCATCATTTTCATGTATTTACATTCCTAGGGAATATTCAGAATGTCTGTCTTGATAGAAACACACACCCAATAAAAGTAAGGTGGAATGGTAACGCCAACAATAGCCCAGTTTTTTTTGGAAAATCTAAATTTATCAAACAAAAGATATTAAGTTTTTCATATTTTACCTCACAGACTGATCTTAGATCGCCATTTGAACCGGAAAGCACTAAACAGTTGTTTTGTCCTGGTATGAGACTCTCCTACATTGAGTACCCACCACTTTACCAGGTTTCAAAGTCAGGATCTTCAGTGATGTAAACAATTTTGACAAAACTATAATAAGTTTTAACTTCAACTCTAGATAGATGGGGGAAGGTTAATAGCATGATCCTAATAGTAAAATTCATAAAAGTATATATCGATGAAATATACCGTAAAAATGCAGACAAAAAAAGCCAGATGGTTCACGATAATCGCGATTGATATTCTGATATGGTTGATAATTTCAAGTTACCCAACGTCTACTATCAGTATGAATTAGAACTGTGTTTTTTTACAGGGGCTCCTTCATTTGTCACAATCATTTTGATTAGCATTTAGAATAAAGGTGTCGTCAAGGAAGCCTAATCGACTAAACGAAATAACTTCAAAGGTTGTTAAAATTGTCAATTGTCATTAATTGTATGACTAGAGCCCCCAAATGCCCTGGTATGACCGAGGGTGGAAAAAGTCTGCTCTCCTTCTCGAAATGCTCTCACATGGCCATGCGTATACAATCACTGCGACGGATGTCCTACTCACTGCCTTCTCATAAAAAGGGTATTGTTTACGAAAATTGAGAGGATGAAAAGCAAATGTCCGGAGCTTTAACCGGGTTAGTGAATATGGAGGATCCACTTAGGGGAGTTGGAATACCCTGATTCCGAACTAATGGTGCGCATGGGATACAGGATCCTGAAGGAACAAATGGCGAATGAACCAATTATTGGTCACCGGCTACCATGGGATTGCATCTGCTGACGTTGCTCCACTACCTTGTGGATCAACTTTTAGCTCGGAGGCTCCGGGTACGGCCGCCTAAATAGACCACCTGTTTCGGTCTGGACACCCGGACCCTATCACAGCCCATGCATAAATCAAGTGATTTGTGTGGCGCATATGTATTTGGTACCTCCTTGTACCAATATCTATGTGTTCAAATGAATAAATATGATTAAAGGACATTAAATAACTGTTTTGTCATTATTATCGATTCCTCAACCAGTTTGTAATCATTTTCATATTGAGATGGTGATAGTATTTAACTGTTAATTTAAGATTTATTTATTCTTTCAAGTAAACTCAGTCTATGCAAGTAATATTTATATATGTAAGCTATGTTGCTCACCGTTCATTAAAATCGAAGCAGGCGGTTTTCTCAAGGTATAATTTGCTAAGCTTTTAAATTTCAAGGTTCAATCTACCAGCAGTTGAACAACATTAGGAGATACTATTCCACCATAACCAGGGAGCAGAATAGGTTCGTATATTATTCATTCTGTTGCGATCTCCGATCCCATGTATGTAATTCGATTGGAGTCATGGCTTTTTTTTATAGCTTCCTTAAATGAATCCTCCATAATTTGGAATTTATACTAACAACACAATTGTTTAAAATTTGATTTATTTAGTTTCTAAGTGTTTGTATCCTTCCGTTGATACAATATGAAATGTAATTGATTCGTCTCTTTTTTTGGCATACTTGCGCCTTGAATAATGGACTGTCTTGTTCGTGCTATATATTCATCAGTTTTCAGTTAGTCAGTAACAACATAGAACTTTGTATGTATATACATCAGTTCATGTTGCCATACCATATTAGCACAGTTTTAGGTAAAGTTATATAACTCAGTGGCTATATGAATTCATTAGCTCAATGAATAACACATTAAACGTTTAAACAGAACGAGAATATATATGTGTATCTCTCTACGTTAAAACATGAACACTAGAATGCAATTGTATCCGACTAACGTATTTGAAAGAAGACGTAACACACAATCTGAATTCCATTGTTAGTAACTACTTCAATTATTATTTAATCTATTTGTTCGTTTGTTTGTTTGTTTGTTTGTTTTTCAATGTTTTCAAATGGTCAAAAACACTTTTGTACAACTAATTTTACCAAAATTGCACACATCTACACAAAGATTAGACAATCAGTTCAGCAGACAATTTAGAGAAAGAAAAAAACAACAACAATATACCAGTCTGGTCAATTAAATTTGGCACACTTTACAAGACAATACATTCATCACAAATCAATAACTAGAATATAATATGTGTAAACAAAACCAAAAAAACTGTACCTTTTGAACAAGTTAACGATTATTGTACATATTCAAATTGCAATATAAACATTTAGGGTGGTAAGGTGCATATAATTCAACTGATTAATCATTTCTATACTAGACAAAATGAACATTTCTAATTACATTGTTTTTTAATTATCCAAAAATTTTCATTATGATTATATTTGTGTGTAGGCTGAGATACTGCCCGGGTGCCCAAACCGAAGCAGGTGATTTTCTTAGGGGGCCACACCCCGAGCCTTCGACCTAAAGGTCTAACCCACAAGGCAGTGGAGCATCGTGAGAAGATGCAGTCCCATGGAAGCCGGTGACCAAGGAATTGATTCATACGCCATTTGTTCCCTCAGGATACTGGAGCCAGCCCATGTGCACCATTGATTTGAGATCCGGTTACAGCGCCTCTCATTTTAGTAAACAACACTCGTGATGCGAGAAGGCAGTGAGTAGTACTTCCCTGGTAGAGGCTATATACGCGTGACGATGTGAGAGTATTTCGAGAGGGAGGGCGAACCCACCCCACTATTGGCCATACCAGGGCATTTGGGGGCAGAGAGGTAGTCAGTATATGACATGGTGTCGTGGTATGAAAGAAAGCTGCAAAGTACTCGCTTCTGTTGGTCCTTCACGACTCCCTGGCTGGGGTCCGAGAGATGGTGCAAGATAGTGGCTAGAGACGTTATCAGTTATGGCTCAGAATAGAAGCCAGTGGTGATCCCGCTGTAACCTTTTATTACTTTCTTCGTAAAGAGTGGTTGCTTCTTCCTTAACTGTAAGATTTCTTCTGATTGTACCTTTTCGTTTCCCCGATTTTTGTTCTTTTTTTTAATATATATATTCCCTACGTTCCTTACCTCTTTTTTTTCCTTCTCTTTAAATTCTCATTGTCTTGTGTGGCGCATATATATTTGGTGCCCCCCCTTGTACCAATATTTATGTGTTTCAATAAATAAAATATTTATCCAAATTGTTGCTATATAACTAATATAAGAAATAATTTATCTAGGTTATTATGTTTCATAGTTTACACTTGATGAATTGATCTTATATATCTGTTTTATTGTAGTATATGATTCATCATGATTGTATAATTGATACTAGAAGTTGTAAATCTTATAGGAGTTATTTAATCTTCAGATATTCAATGATTTACATTTGTTATTTCAATGAGTTTGAAATTAAAATGAAAACTAAAAATTTAGAAAATTTGAACCACTGTGTTTGGGTGGGTAATACACATTTACTTACGCTTGTTACACCTCGTGGAGCATAGGTCAATAACCAAGAATCTTCAACCTGCTCTCTCTCTCTCTCTCTCTCTCTCTCTTGGGCTCTTAATTTTTTCCCAAGTGCTGTTTTTCCTTTTGATTCATGCCTTCGATTCCCAGTGGAATGTGTTTTCTGGTCATCGTTTTCTCCTTTTGCATTGAGGATTCTTAATTAGGGTTTGTTTTTTTTTAGTGTAGTTTGATGGTTTTTGCAATGTGTGTTCTATCCACCTCAAGTGTCTTTTCCTAATTCCCTCTTCAGCTGGAAGTTGGTTTGTTCTCTGCTAGAGTAGGTTATTACTACACCTAATCTCAGTTATTATTCACTAAAACTGTTTTTAAAGCTTAAAAAAAAGACAACTACACTGTATTGTACAGCTTTACAAACGGTAATCTCATTACTAAATCTTATATCAAATCCCATTAAATTACAATGATTAGAATAATCATATCACAAATAGTTACAATCTTTGTCCACATTAACATATCATGATCCACAGTGTCTGAGAGACACCTGGTACTGGAGTTGAGAGATGGTGCCAGAGTAGTTTATTGGCTACACGTATCAAAAAAAATAACTGTATACTTGTTTATATATGTACAATCTAGATATACATATATCCCTTAGGTAGTTGAATGTTTCAATGGTTTATGTCTCAACCCTTGACTGATCGCATACCATCTTCATCTGATAGTTTCTGATGCACCCTCTGTATCATTCTGTATGTTACATACATTGTACATGATAGGTGATTTTTTTCACAAACTTATCTCTTAGACAAACAGAAAAATCTATTCGACATAAAACTATAATTTAATGTTGTTTCATGTGATCAAGATATTCGAATTACAATTTGAAGATCAATAATAAAGTATGTCTGTTATCTGTGCCGCGTAAAATGATACTTTTCATATTATATTACGTTGTTTTAATATAACGTGAATCAAGATGATCCCTTTTGTATGTGTTTCAGCTTATGATTTATCAATGGTATATAGGATGAGCCTAAATTTAAAACCATCATACTTGATCGAATTCTTTGTCTTTCGTTGGAAATTCGTCACCCACAAACAGCTTTCGGAAAATACTATTAACTTCTCTAGTTAAAGTAAACATCTGAGATGATGATATGACTGTGATAATAAAAGTTGTAAATTAATATTCAAATCAAGAGTTCGCTGCTTTTATCGATCCGAAATTAGACTCGCCATCTTTAGGAATTGAGAACAACATTTATGATTGACTGACCGATGAGATAGTAACGAACGATAGACAGAGGGATAAACTGTAGGGAGGTGAATCGAAGACTCTTCACATCCTTAAAGATTTTATAGCCGTAGGACTGCAATATGCCTCTATGCATACGTTGAAATTCTATTCAATAGATACTTTTACTTCTTCTTGAGCTTTGTAGAGTTTTTGTTTCTATTTTTCATTCCAAACTCATTTTGTCTTTTTTTTTCCCTTCATGTTGTATTAATGCTTGTAGATTATTACAAAAGAAATTCTACCACAGTCATGTCTTCCGAAACATTCTCGTTCATCAGTTAATTTACAACAATTAAATTCATCATTATCTATCATGAATGATGATAATTCTGCTCAAATTAAATCATTATCATCTTTAAATCAAACTGCTACTGTTGGTGGTGAGAATAATGATAGGAATGATGTTGATTGCAACTTATCCTCATACTCTACAAATAATATAACTTCTGACTTAATGCTTGGATCCTTAGAAGGAGTACCAGTAGTTACAACGACAACACTCACTAAAACAAAGTCAATGAATGAAGCAAGGAACAATCCAAATCATACTATAGAATCTTGTAGTTCCACAACAGAATCTTCAAGTCCATTTGACAGTGGTCTGTATATGACAGCTCCTAATCGTTGTATACATAGTAGTTACGATGGTGTTGGTGTTGTTGACCATGGTGATGACGATGATGATAATGATAATCATGGTGTTAAAATGCAATCACCAGACAATTCATTCCATTTACCACATTGTCCACATTATCACACTACTTCATCAGTTATGTATCGAACTTTAACATTACGTAATTATCTAGTTCCTAGAATAATTCCTGAATGGGATTTTGTTGATGGTCTTTTGAGAATAGCTCGTCGATTAGTACCAATTAGTCCCAAAGAGCAAAGAAGTAAGTGTTTCTTCAAACTTGATTATACATTGAGTTATTTCATCCACTAATCGATTTCAGAGTTAAACCTATGGTTTGTATGTGAGAAACAACAAGTGACGAAAAGCCGAATGATTACTTCATCGTTTGTTCACGAAATAATTTTCCTTTTTCAAGGATTCTCTTTTTCACTCAGAATATCTAGATGATATGATCTGGTTCACTAAAGGTGTTGACTAATGGAATTTCAATACAAAATAGTTCCGAGATACATTTAGTTTTCTCTGGATGAAAAGTGTTAGTTCAATATACCTCTACTTCAGTGTCCAGCTTGACTTTAGTGAGTGGAGCAATCGATCATGTTGAAAAATCCATTTATTTTCAGGGTATCATACAGTCACAGTAGGTTGGTGGTAAACAAAATTGAAATATTTATGGTGGTATTCCTTCTGTTCCTTTTCGCTTAGACAACTTGTGGCACAGATGAAATGTCTATCTGCAAGTGTATTATAAAAACAGTCCACATTATATTGTGTGGTTTTGAAGTATAACATTTGATGCTTGGTAACATATGTGTCTCACTTATTCTGTTGGAGATTTCAGAAGACTGCATGCGTATGGTGGAACAACGAAGCATGTGATACCTGACGTGCCATAATGACTTGTATGGGTGTAAACTTAAATATCATATAAATGAAGGCATAACTTCCATGGAGTAAGCCATTGACATGTTGACGCTTATCGTTACCCTTTCGTCATTTCCGTCCATACTATCACTCACTGAAGCTCGTATGAATTAAAACATAAGTTTTACAAGAAGCTTTCTGACCTCTAGAAAGCCAGGCGCTCAGATATATTAATCGTACGAGATGTTTTTAACACCCATGTTGGTGAGCGAAGGTAAACTGAAAAACACTTGAGTGGGTAATTTGTCGTCTCATCCCAACGAACGGATAGCGGTAAATGTTTATTGCAGTTATGCACATACAACCGCTTATTCTTAGCCTTAACCTAGCAACTCCAGATATCAACAGAATGATGGGCACAGACAGATAATATCGCTATCAAACATCTTTGTAGAAGCTCGATAGATGATACTGCTACTCCTTCTATGCTATGACACCGATTTTATTCTAGTGAGATCACATATTCTCATATTTTTCACTGACCGTAAAAAATTACAACACGAAGATTCTTAATTCATTTTGTATTATTTGTTTAAATCTTTCCAATGATGCTTAGAATTGCAATTGATCAGTCTCTTAATGGCATATCTGCATACTTTGCAGATTGCTTCAATATTGCCTTAATTCATAAGCATTATAAGCAAAGATAAGTGGCGGCTAGCAGTGGAATCCAGGATTCGCATTTCGTTCTATTTGGGACTCTTCAGCTGGATTCACCTGCATCCTAGGGTTGTTATTTATTCCGAGATTCGAACCCAGTACCGTTCGCTTGAAGCACTCTCGTGTTATCCACTTAAGATAACATTGAAACAATCTGCACAGAATGCACATATGCTAAGAGACTGGTCAATACGCGTGGCTATGTGAAAGCATTTCAAGAGGAAGAGCTGACTCTCTCCATCGTCGGCATTAAAACTCAAGTTTTAGTTTCATTTGGTTATTTATTCTCTGGAGAAATGGCTTAAACTGAGTTACAAAACGTCAGAATATGTATGGGGATATCTATAAATAGATTATTTTGCTTTATAACAATCTACCCAATGCTCAATTTATTTGAAATTATGAAGTTGATTCTTGATAATGATATCTACAATAATAATAATAACGTTGGTTAGTTGTGTGTACCTTATTATATAGTCGATTTCTGATTGACTCAATGTATGAAATAAAGATAGAATAAATGGATTATAGATAGCAGAGTAATTAAAAACATAAGTTTCATCTTGTTTGAAACTTTTCAGTTGCGTATGCCAGAATCCAAGTATTCATTCAATTGCCAACAAATTTTGCAATCACCTACTACCAGCCTGTTGAATGGGTATCATCAAACAGGGTTTGAATTATCCCGTTGTTAAAGTTCAGAACAGAAATTTGATTAGTGTTATTTTATTCTATAAAACATGTTTCGAAATGACTATATCGAGACAATAGACTTGGAAAGCACACTGCTGTGGAGTCCCATACTAGAACGAAACAGTCGTCCAGTGCTCCCAGGTTTTCAGCGGTGGTCTGACTTTGATCGGTTCATGATTTCAATGAAATTCAACAATCTCCATAACCTCATGTTAAAAATACCAATAGTGTTAAGAAGAAATCAGGCGTTTTTATCATTACATGTTAGTTCTTTCTTGAGGAGATAACCTCAATAACATTTTCCTAATTCACATGTCATCAATAACATTTGCTATCAACTGATTAGTTGTTATAGTCTTTGTTTTTGTAACCTTGTTACGGGTGCCCAGGGTTATTGCGTGTTACTATAAAAACAGGGTTGTTCTGTTTCAGATTTGACTTCTGTACGAAATATAGAGTAAGATTGAAAGTCCCCTCTTCTCTACCACCGTGTAGATTATTAACGTTAAAGTGTTGTTGTGTGATATAGGGATCCGGTCTGTTCAAGTGCCTTTTAGTTACAATTTTTTAGAAGGATCCTCAATCGTTCGTTTATAGGATTTATCTTAAGTCAACCAGAAATCCCAAAGTCTTAAATGTGCTTGCGAGATTTAACATTCAGAAATTGAACTGTTTTTTTGGGGGGGAATCGATAAAAAATCGTAGAATAAATTTGGAATCATTTCGATAACCAATGAGAAGCAAGGGAGGTTTTGAATTATGAATGACCCTGACAATTTCACCTTACTATACTAATGTGGGATATGACAACTTGAAGTGATTTATACATGTGCTATATTCTATGTCACTTATGGCTGATTGACCGTTACACAATTATCTACCATAATCTACATTGATTATGATTGATCGATAATAGAATAACTAACTGATTCCTATATCATTTAATCAAATCACATAGTAACACAATGTCATCGTTTATCTCTCTCTCTCTCTCTTCTCTTCTTTTCTTTTCTTTTCTATGCATTTTGTTTCAAACAAATTACAGCTGCTCATTTACAGGCAGAATTAGCAAATATAAATCTTCATTTACCTGCCCGTGTATGGTTACCAGTATATAAAGCTGGTCATATTGTTTTACGTATTCCACCAACTGCTGCGGTATGTTTAAATTCTAAGGATAAAGTAAGTCAACTATGTATATGATCTGAGTTATTCTATTTTTTTTTTAATTTTTTAAATATCTGGACATTAAATAATTTCAATTTTGATTTTCTTTATAAGATCATTCGCTTATAGTGGAACTTCCATACTGAGGTTCTGTGTAAGGTTTCACAGAGAAATGTTATAAACTTTGAATCAGATTAGAAGATCTATGAATATGTTTCATTTATCTTGTCACATTCCTTATCTAGACACTTATTTATTTAAACATATAAACATTGGTATAAGGAGACATCAAATATAATATGCGCTACACAATACATTCAATTTGTGTGAGGGCTGCCCAAACTGAAGCACGTGGTTTTCTTAGGGGACTACTCCTTGAGCCTTTAATCCAAAGGTTCAATCCATAGGGCAGTGGAGAAATGTTAGAAGATGCATTCCTATTGTAGTCGGTGACCAACAATAAGTTGGTACGCTATTTTTTCGCTCAGGATCCTGTAGTCGATGTGTAGTATTGGTTTAGAATCAGGATATTCCAATTCCCCTAGATAATTTCTACATATCTACTAACCGGGTTAAAGCTCTGAATATTCACTTTTCATTCTTTCAATTTCGTAAACAACACCCTTTTCATCAGAAGGCAATGAGTAGGACTTCTCTGGCAGTGGCTGTATACGCGTGACCATGTGAGAACATTTGGAGATAGAGAGCTAACTCTCCCCACCCTCGACCATACCAGGGTATTTTCAGGCTGTTATTTATTTATTTATTTATTTTAACACATAGGTATTGGTGCAAGGAGGCACCAAATACATATGCGCCACACGAATCTTAATTGATTTGTGTGAGGGCTGTGACACTGCCCGGGTGCCCAAACCGAACCAGATGGTTTTCTTAGGGGGCCACAACCCGAGCCTCCCACCTAAAGCTCTGACCCACAATGCAGTGGAGCATCGTGAGGAGATGCAGTCCCATGGTAGCCGGTGACCAACAATTGGTCCATACGCCATTTGTTCCCTCAGGATACTGGAGCCAGCCCATGTGCACCATTGGTTTTGGATCCGGTTAAAGCCGGTGCCGGATATTTGCTTTTCGTCCTCTCATTTTCGTAAACAACACTCGTGATGCGAGAAGGCAGTGAGTAGTACTTCCCTGGTAGAGGCTATATACGCATGGTCACGTGAGAGTATTTCGAAAGGGAGAGCGGACTCTCCCTACTCTCGGCCGTACCAGGGCATTTGGGGGCATTTTCAGGCTGAGAGAATTATGTTACGGAAATCTAATGTAGAATTACCAGTATATAATATTAACTCATTGTTGAACTAATTCCTTTCAGTATATACAGATTTCCAAGTTTAACATCTAAAATTTAATACAGTAGTTTAGTTTATCGCATTAGTTGTCCCCATTCTAAATTTTTTATAAGATCTCATTTTTTATTCGACTTTATTTACTCGTTTATAAATTAAATTTCATACATTTAACTCTCTATAACAGTCTAAATGATTCCTCCTGACTCTGTTGCACTGCCTTGTGGATCAGGTCTTTAGTTCGAAGGCTCCGGGTGTGGCCCCTTAAGAAAGCCATCTGCTTCAGTCTGAACATTCAGACAGTATCACAGCGCCCACACACAAATCAAGTGACTTATGTGGCACATATGTATCTGGTGCCTCCTTGTACCAATGTTTATGTGTTTAAATAAATAAATAAATTACTGTCAAAGTATTCATATACACGATAATAACTGTGTTGGATTTTAGCATAAAATTCAATATGTTATTCTGTCTTCTATCAATAGATTAGTGAATAACTTTACAGTCAAAGAGTTTTAAGAATATATTGAAGAGAAGCCTATTGATCATTAATAAATCATTAAGGACATCACCATGTGAATGCAAAGATGCTGGATTCTAAAATGTTTTCTTTTTATAATTTTACAATCAAACGAATATTTTTGTCCATCCTTCTTCTTCTTCTTCAGATCTTGATGATCATTGGCCTACTAAAATGCTTGTAGGCCATGCAGTAGTTCGCTCTGTATTACTTTATGGCTACGAAACATAGTTTATGAATGTAAGAGACATGCGTAGGCGAGACAATGATGGGAAATCGGCTGATAAGGTTGTGAATCTCCTCCAACTGAGGTGGTCAAAGCATGCGTTATATATACCCAAACGCTGTTTACCTCGGTCTAGGATGTTTACTGATGCAGGAATAGGTTAGAAAATAGCTAGGGGTTGCCAAACCAAGATATAGTATCAGTCCATGAAATCATTGATTAATATCTTGATACGTATTAGTAGATCCATATTAGCTTGTTAGGATCCGTTTGATAGCCGCAATCATCATTCAGAATCATTCACAAAGGCACAAGGACAATCACTATTTATCTTCCTCTAAATCTTGAATTCCAGTATTCAATCATACTTACCTTTCAACTATGTATTTGGAGCCATATTCTTAGTGTTCAGTCTTTATGATTATCATTACTTCTACAGTATATTATCTGTTTTGGTGTTCATTCTGTTGTACTCATCTCGTACTGTTGTAATGTGGCGGGGGTGTTGTGTACGAAGATGAGAGAACGAAAAGCGAATATCCGGCGCTTTAACCGGATCCAAAACCAATGGTGCACATGAGCTCTAGTATCCTGAGGGAACAAATGGCGTATGAACCAATCGTTGGTCACCGGCTACCATGGGACTGCATCTCCTTACGATGCTCCACTGCCTTGTGGGTCAGACATTTGGGTCAAACGCTCCGAGTGTGGCCCCCTAAGAAAACCACCTGGTTCGGTTTGGGCACCCGTGCAGTATCACAGCCCACACAGAAATAAAAATTTTTGTGGCGCATATATATTTGGTGCCAACTTGTACCAATATTTATGTGTTCAAATAAATAAAATAAATAAACTAATGTAATATGCCGACTTAGGTCAACATACATCTTTTCTAGGTTCTACATTGATGATGATTGACTGAATTATTGGAATTCCCTCAGTAACGTGAATTTATAAGAAGCAGTAGCTTTAAGATCCCACCAATTTTGGTCAGATTTAATCACTGTGCACATTCTTAATGCCTAACTGATGTGCCTATGTGGTGATAAAATGTGTCTAGAGTGACGTCGGCGGAGACATATGTAGTCTTGATGGAACGAGCAATTCAATTACTTACTTTGTGTCCTCAAAACTATATGCGATGTGTCCAGGCATAAACCACACCAGAGGAAGTTTACACGAACCTAGCAATATTAATAGTTGACAGTAAAACCACCATAACTCTGTTTAGATTACTGTCGTTGTTCTTTATTTCAAGTTAATTAATAAAGAACTGTGTGGATATTCTACAACTCATTTCATTTCATCACTGCAAAATAAAACTATTTATCTCTTAAAAACTCCTGCTGACTACTATTTACAAATTTCTTGAAGCATTTACTAATCTTATCGCGCCTAAGGTTACGCTACCATCTTAATCTATCGTTGTTTTCTTGTTTGTGCATATGTTTATCCCTCTGTCTGCTTGTGTGTATTGTTTATTTGCGTGCGTGTTACTGAGTTGTATATGTCATGGTTTATTGATTTTTAATTCTGCAATCATTTACACTAGTATGTGTAAGGAGTATGTGTACGCGTCAGGAAAGCGAATGATACAGATTGGTATGATCATCACACTTACATTTGAAGGATAAATGATATCTTCTTGTCAGCATGGAGTTGTAGAGATTGTCTAGTTTCATTGAGATCATGAATCGATCTAAGTTGGACCACCATTAAAAATCTGGAAGCGCTGAAGGAGCGTTTTGCATCAGTATGAGATTCCTCAGTTTTGCTCATCCACGATCCCGTTCACACGCGAAACTGAAGGTTCTCGGTTCGATTTCCTTGTGTAAAGTCATGGATGTGCACTGATAAGGGGTCGTATACTAGGATGAAATGGCCATCTAGTGCTTCCATGTTTTCAACGGTGGTCTAACGTAAACCTGTTCATTTTTGTCTTCCTGTTCAAACTACTTTTTTAACCAGAATTATGTTCAAATCCACTCATATTAATAACCCGACTGAGTTGTTTGTTTTAAACTTGTGACGTAATAGTGGTTGGAAAATAATAATTTACCACTATAATTATCACACTATTACTCGGGGAGATCGTAAGTGCTATTTAAGGTTTGGAAATGAAAGTTATTGCCTCGTCGCTCACATTGTGGAAGGATATTTCTTATCCAGAATATCTCTAAAAGGGAAATTAAATTAGCGGTGATCTTGACATCTAGGGACATATATCACAGATTCCAAAGGATGTCTGCTTAAAGCCGACCACATACAGACTTTTTTTGTGTAATATTAGATCTAGCTCAGTAGATTTAAGGCCTTACTGCAGACTACAAAAATTCATGTGACAAGATGAGATGTGATATTTTTCTAATATCAATATTTCCTGACCCTCTTCCATCATGAGAAAACAACAGATCTGCAAATTCTGGTAGTTTGAAACGAATATTTTACTATCATCATATCACAATTGATTGATCACTGGGTGACCAATGTCATGCGTGTCTAGTCCTTATTATTAGTGCAGATCGAATGCTATCGATCATGTTGCAACGTGGCCACCAGTCTAGGTGACTCGACACTGCGGGCACTATTGTGAGATTAGATGGTGATTGGAGGTAGTCGACAGGAAACCCTGGACCCGGGTTTCGTGCTACTTGGCACTCGTCAGCAAGGTGTACCTGTAATCTTCGAGGGAACTGGTGCTCCCTGGCGGATTCGATCCCGTGTCACCCAGCTTCACAGTCAGAGACGTTACCACTGAGCTATCCGGGCCGCGACCCACCTCCTGTAGGACTGAGATGTAATCACAATTGATTGATCACTGGGTGACCAATGTCATGCGTGTCTAGTCCTTATTACAGGTACACCTTGCTGACGAGTGCCAAGTAGCACGAAACCCGGGTCCAGGGTTTCCTGTCGACTACCTCCAATCACCATCTACTATCATCATACTCCACTATAGTCAACTATAACGTTTCTCCGCTAGATCTTAAATCTATCACTTTTAGTTTTATTACTCTTCATCTAATCTGCCTGACAAGTTTGGATGTGAAGGAACTAGTGTTTTAATCATCAAGATTTACAAACCTGTGACCACTACAATAAGGTAGCAACTACTATTGAGTATACCATCATTATTGTAAATCAAATTCACTTGGTTTGTTTACTTGAGTGTGCTCATTAATGTTTAGGACTGCAATTGATCAATCTCTTATTGACATATGTGCATACTATGCGCATTGCCTCAATATTGCCTTAATTCATAAGCATTATAAGCAAATATGGATAGTGACTAGCAGTTATATCCAGTATACGCGTTTAATCCTATATGGGACTGATCATCTGGATGTACCTGCATCTCAGAGTTCATATTCACTTCGGAACTTGAACCCAGTACCGCCTGTAATTCTTGTGAATTAAGACAATACGCATCGTATGCACATATACCAAAATAAGAGACTGATCAATTGCAGTCCTAAACATCAATAGGAAGATTCAAACAAACGATACAAAATGAATTGCACAAGAAGCTGCCTATCAGATCTCAGTTGCTATGTGGATAATGTGATGGAGTTTGAAGAGAATAGTTCAAGTCCCGGAGTGAACATCAACTCTGAGATGCACGTTCATCTAGCTGACAAGTCTCAAATAAGATGGAACACACATCCTGGATTTCATTGCTAGTTACTATCTATCTTTGCCTATTATTATTATTATTATTATTATTATTATTATTATTATTATTATTATAAATCATTTATAAATTATACAACAGATTCTACTATTTCCATATATTCTCATAACTCTAATGTTCTCAATTTTGTAATTATTTGTTTACCATTGTTTTTCTTTTGTGAATGTACGTGTTTGTGTGTATGTGTGGGTATGGGTATAACAGGTTTATTTACATGTATGTTACATATACATCTTTAATATTCATTTTGTAAAGTTCATATTATGTAATCAAGAAACAAAACACCCCCCCCCAATAGAATATAATATATTGATACAGAAAAAAATCAAATATTCATTTACCGAAAACAAAAAGATTTTGTTTTATGTCAATATTATTTTACACATTTGTGAAAATCAATAAAAATGATGTTTTTCGGATGATTGAATTTTCAGTCAGTCAGTCAGTTACAACGTAGGACTAGACACGTATATGTATCGGTTCAAGTTGACATACATCACTCATTAACACAACAAGATGAACACCAAATTCATAGAAGTGGTTAATTCAGTTGTAGTAATATATAAAAGAAAGATTACATATAAGGGTATAGTACAGGAATAAAGAATTAGTTCGTAGAAAGAAAGATATGAAGCGATTTTAATTTCATAGCTTAAAAGGAAGATAGAGAGTGTATACATTGATGGCATTGTGATCGATTCTGAGTGATGTCACACAGAGTCTCCAACTATTAGTTACGATAGTTGCGCCGACCTCAACCAATTAGTTCACATCTACCAACATGGCTCAGATTAGAAGTTAGTGACTTCATGAACTGATGCTGCGTTTTGGTTTGGTCGCCACTATTTTTTCCTCAACCATCCCGAGCGCTAGTCAACATTGCGCGTCGTGCTATTATGTGGTGTTCAGATATACGTAACACGTGGCCCAACCATCTTAGTCGATGAAGATTCACAACCTCATCAACTGATTTACGATCATCATTTCCTAATACCCTTCGTCTAACCTCACTATTACTTACCCGATGATCCCGGAAGATGCGAGTAATGTCCTAAGACATCTGTGGTAAGATAATACTATCTTAAGAGTATCTTGTACTGTTAATGGCCATGTTTCGCAGCCGTAAAGTAAAAGAGAATTCAACTTACCTATTCACTGATTCTTCTAGTATGAATCACACTCCAAGTGTAAGAGGTAACAATAGTACTCAGTTGGTTAAACCTGATATAGGTGTATCTGGGTTCGAATCTGAAATTTACAATGTCTGAAGGTTGAATGCCTTAACTACTAAGCCATTGCATGTAGAGAGAAACCCTAGAAGAATAAAAATTAAATAAGTTTAAGCAATGATATTATTAATGCTAGTTGAAGAAACAAATAATGGTTTCAAAGCATAAAGAGTGGATACACTTCTGCCTTAACTATAGATCATATAAATGTGATATTGGTAACTAGTTTATGATCATTCTTATAAAAGGTTAGTAGTAGCTTAAATAGCTCATTAATGACAGAACGAACTGCCGCGTTGTATATTTGTCCCTTAATTGATAGATGGATATCTCGCCTTCACCATAGGTGACATAAGTTGAAATTTATTCTAATCTGTTTGTTTAGAGTATCATTTAATAGATTAATATTAATATTATGAAGTACAAATAATTATTTTGTAATGAATTCAGATCAGATCAGTTTTACAATCTTCATAAACCTTTTACACTTATAATAATCATCTACTCACTGATGACCAACTTCAAGAGTTCTAGTGAGAAACCTTGACTATTACAGTTAGTTCAACCATGCCCGAATGTGAAACAGTTATACACCACATGCACTGGAATCAATGATATGTCACTCAACACTAATAGAGTTGAGTCAACTGTGAATGCTTATTAGTTCTCAATATAGTTGTTTCTTGTCTAATCCAACTCGTTCAGTCCGGAACACAGTATTCAGCTTCTATTCTATGAATAATATCTTTTACACATATGTGGTTTATATACAAGCAGACAATACCGAATCACACTACAACATGAAAAATGATAGTTATACAAGATCAAGCCAAAAAATGATTATATGGATAGGAGACTGTAGCTAATAGATTTGGAATAACTTAAAAATAATAAATCGTATAATAGTAGCTTATGATGATATATATATGTTAACAGTTCATAAATAGTTCCCGCAATTTACCCATTATTTAATCTACTTCGGATACAACACTGATAACCTTGACTTGAAGCCGAGATAATCTTAACAGGTATTTATTTATTTGAACACATAAATATTGGTACAAAGTGGCACCGAATACATATGCACCACTCATATCACTTGATTTAGATGTAATACTGCCCGGGTGCCCAGGCCGAAACAGATGGTCTGTTTAGAGGGCTACGCAAAGAACCTTCGACCTAAAGGTTTGATCCACTGGGCATTGGAGTAACGTCACGAGATGCAGTCCTATGGTAGTCCGTGATTAACAATTGGTTCATACACCATTTATTTCCTCAGAATCTTGGAACCCGTATACACCGTTGATTTTTCCAACTCCCCTAGGTGGATCCTCCATATCCACCAACCCGGTTAAAGCGCCGAGCATTCGCTTTTCGTCCTCTCAATTTTGTAAATAACATCCGTGGTGCGAGAAGGCAGTGAATAGTACATCTTTTTCAGTGGCTGTATACGCTTGGCCATGTGAGAGCATTTGAAGAGGGAGAGCGGACCCTACCTCCCTCGGTCATACCAGGGCATTGGGGAGTTACAGTTTTCTTAATAGCCAATGTAGATCAACTCAGGAGGTAGATAACTCCTGTTTGAAGAGTTCAGTCTAAAATTAAATATTCACGTAATGATGATATAGGCTAATTACTTAGTTGCACATTAGCACAAATAGGAAACATACAGTGTACATATAAGTAGATTATAAATGAAAGAGAATTGAGTAACAGATCCGTTATAAATTAATAGTAACTAAAGAAAGGCACAACACATAACGACTCCTTATTTATCCAATGTAGATCGATGACCGATTGACTCTACGTATGACATCTTATATGTGTTTTGTTTTTTACCAACGTTTCTTTTCCTTACGAATATAGGTACCATTTTTAATCTATGTAGAAATATTGTGCTGTGATGATCCATCAATTATTTCTTTACCAAGTCGACCGATAACAGCAGCCAGTTCAAAAAGTTCCAATTCATTATCTGCTGTTTATCCATGGAATCCTAATTCACATACAGTAAGTATTTATTGAATAAATAAACTTTCTGCACTTAACTAGAATGTTCAAATTCAATAACTTAATGGAAATCATGAGCCTATCTAAGTTAGACCACTTAGAAAGCAATTAGCACTGGATGGTCGTTTTGTTCTAGTATGCGACTCCTTAACAATACACACTTACGACCCCATCACAAGAATCTAACTAAGGATGTAAGAACTAAACCTCTAGACTACTGAGCTGGGGCCCGTCGGTGTACAATTCTAACCTTAATCAATGCACAATATTGCATAACTAGTGCTTCTAACTTAGATTAGTTCATAATTTCAATGGAGTTTCACATTCTCCACAACCCTATACTGAATAATTTAAATAGTTATCCTTTTATTTGCTTACACAACAGTAGTCAGTAAGAAGATCGTGGACATTGAACACATACATATAATATTGTTACTAGTCACTGTTATCCATCTGTTAGTCTAGGACACCAAATGGCATACCCATGTGTTTTTCAGATTGACTTAGCCTACCGATTTATGCTACCAATTCAACATTTGAGTATCTGATCTTTTGAAAGAGATTAGAAAGCTTCTTAAAAAACTCATCTTTTGCTTCGTCAAAAACCATGTTATATATTCAGATTTTTCTCGGTTATTTTTCTGCCACCGAGTCATTCTACATAGTAGGATGTATGCAAAATCGTAGTTTAGAATTTCATGCTTTGACTGAGTGTTGTTATGAAAAGCTACTACTTACGTAAGATTTTAAAATAATGAAGAAAACCTACATCTCAAGTGATAAGTTATTTTTAATAGTAAGTTAAATAGTTCAATTGCACGTCACTCATTGTCGTTGTGTACAACATCTCGAACGCCTAATTCATCTAACAGTAAATATACGAGATCCCTTAACTCCGGGCTTGTAACTGGTAATAACCGTAAAATGATTCCACGTGGATTCGGTTCACTAAACTGATCAAGTGAATTTAGGTTAATGACTACAACTTCGTTTTGTTAGCGAATTTCTTCTACATATACACTACTCACAGTTATATAACATACCACCCTTGTGGGCCAGGGTAATTCTACATTGGTTTTCAGGCGAACAAGACACCGTCCAGACTTTCATGTGACAACCCAAACAGTACAGCTCAAGCCCGTTTAACAGAAGAGCCAGACACTGTATAGACTTTAACACTATAACCTGAATAGTACAAACCAATCCTGTGGTGCAACCACACAGGTACCAAGCACACTGGTGGACCAGGGTGCTAATGATAGATTAGCTTTGGGTTTTTTTTTTGCACTAATGACTACTATGATATAATTATACATGCAATATTCCATTTTGTAAAAATGTAATCGTTTATTTGGTAATAGATTCTTAAGAGACTAGAAACGTCGTTTAACATATAAGGATAGATTAGTACAGCCACATAAAGCCTGTTAAACACACACCTTTATCATGAATCTAATCATTCTTGTCTACTTTACTCCTCTCATTTGTAATTTGTTTTTCCAATTCCCTGTTCATATATCCTACTCTTTGGAGCATACTATTTCTGTTCAGATTAATAATACTAGCTGGACAGTTAACCAAACATAGATATATTCACTGGGATTCGAATCATGAATCTACTGATTAAAAGTCAATTGATCTAATAACAAAGATACAATTACAATGATAATCATTCTCATTTCTCCTTATTAATAAATAATTCCACCCTTAATATTGAAAATAATAATACCTATTAATAAGAGGTACAAAATTAGCTGGTTAGCGTTTTTTTAGTGAGTTAGTTTTCTACGGGATGGGGTCGCTAACCCCATGCCCAACCCTCCTCCTTTATCCGGGCTTGGGACCGGCAGTAGCCCCCGGAAAGGGGCTACTGTATGGCGCGGAAACCTGGAAAACTACGAAATCCATCGTCCAAAAAATACAAGTGTTTATTAACAGTTGTCTACGCAAAATACTTCAGATCCGCTGGCCGGACACTATTAGCAACAACCTACTGTCGGAGAGAACAAATCAGATCCCAGTGAAGGAAGAAATCAGGAAGAAACGCTGGAAGTGGATAGGACACACATTGAGGAAAGCACCGAACTGCGTCACAAGACAAGCCCTCATATGGAATCCTCAAAGTCGAAGGAAGAGAGGAAGACCAAAGAACACACTATGCCGGGAAATGGAGATAGATATGAGAAAAATGAACAAGAATTGGATGGAACTAGAAAAGAAGGCCCAGGACAGAGTGGGTCGGTTGGAGAATGCTGGTCGGCGGCCTATGCTCCATTGGGAGTAACAGGCGTAAGTAAGTAAGTAAGTAACAAAATTAGCTAAAGCATCATTCTAACCTCTCACTAGTTTTCAATTTGTTCTTCAGCTATGATATCCATTACATTGTTGGAACGTTTTACTATCATGTTCATAAATTTCTCATGGTGTAGATATTCTTGATTTCATTGATTAGTATAATATAGAAAGTTTTGACATTCTATCAATAATGTTCTATAATAACATAGAACTAGTTCATGTCCAATTAAGTAAGAATTTTTTTTGGGGGGGGGGTATTTAAATATCCAAATCTAGAATTATCAATCCTGTTCAAGTTAATTCAATTATTGTCTTAATGTTTATTCAAAATTTTATTGTTCATATTCCAACATTCAATCATATCAATAGATCCTATCTATTGTGATTAGTCCCAATGTTAACGTTTTGAACTGTTGTTCAATGGTATACGTTTTTGATCTACAAAATTAGTATCATCCCTTTCAAGATTTCATGTTCACATTATTCAATTAGCATGAAATTTAAGTTTTCCTAAATGGTATTATACAATTGTTATCACTTTGATCGCCCCATTAGAGAGCAGTGACTTATCGATCGAATCAATAACGTGTAAAACCTGTACAAGCAGCCTAGAGTCTTGATTGATCTCGCTTCTTGCCTAGCCAAGCCAGTTAAGTCTAGAACATCAATCCGAGCCTCTGCAATATGAATCATTATATTTTAAACATACTGAGTTTATTTACTAATCAAACAGACCACAACGTACCAATAAAATATCAAACATCATTTGTACTAGAATTAGGCAGATGTGGCTGTGAATGAGGAAGGCAGTGACTAATAGACAGGGAATAGATCAAGAATGGAAAGTCGTATAATAACAATTTATAGGTTAAAGTTTATGATAAGACAGACATAAATATGAATAGTTTAGTTAATCAACAATTATATGATAAAATATACTTATAGTATTGGTCCACATATGAATCCCAAAAATTACCATTCATTATGCTTATCGGGGCACAACACAAAAATGATTATAAACAAAGATGAATAGTGGCTAGCAGTGAAAGTGAGGACACATGTTTCATCCTATTTGGGAATTATTAACTGGATGTATCACCATCCCAGAATTGATATTCTACTCGGGAATCATACACAATAACATTCTCTTCGAACATCATCGCGTTATTTATTTAGCTAGTGAATCCATATAACCACTAGTTTGTACAGTAGCTTAGTAGATAACGCGATGGTGTTTCAAGCGAAAGGTATTGAGTTCGAGTCCCGATGCAGTCGTCAACTCCGCGACGCAAGTACATTCAACTAACTAGTCCTAAATAGGATGAAATATGCCTATGTTGTGACCTTTCCCAAGGACATTTTTATGCTATATATATATATATATATATATATATATATATATATATATATACACGCTTAAGTTGTACTTGGTGTTATTCATGCGTTTTGCTGCTTATGGAATACATTTTCCCTCTTCTGAACCTGAAGATTTCCCTCTAATTAGAGGGGCTTATCTTATCATTACGTCACTAAGTCTTCATTCCTTTTGTGAATTTTAGGTGATCTCGTAATCTCTTCAAACATAGTACACATGAATCGTAAATCCTCTCAAGATTACAAATGCTCTTTACTAAAAAGTACTAATCAATATGAAATCCACGTTAATAGGATGTTTTTAATTGATTCCCTTCAATTATCTAACATAATTGTGTATACTTTATTACAAATTATCCTTTCCTTTTTATTGATAATCATTTTGTACGTGTGTATGTGTGTGTGTGTGTAACTTATGTTACATAACTTGATTCATGTGTTTTTTCTTGGTTTCTTTCACATCATTCATGAAAAGGATTGTTTTTCATCTAATGAAATGACAGAAAATCATGAAATCAATATCAATACACATACATCCGATGAATTAAGTCTTCGTTCCTCTTCTATATCATCTAATGTTTCTTTAAGTGAAGAAGCAATAAATCCTACAGAATTTAATCATCATCATCAACAACAACAACAACAACAACATCAACATCCTCATTATCATTTAACTATAGATGAAATGGATGAAAGAAAAGAGCTTCCAACTCAATGTATACATAATCCATATGAAATTAATGAAACTATAATTAAAGATGATACTATCATAGCAACTGATTCAATAACAGTAACTAATACTAATCAATCTAAATCACCAATTATTTATATTGGAGCTGGTGAAATACGTAATCGACTTAAAGAACAATGTGAACTTCAACCGCATAAATCGTTTAGAGTAAGTATATCTGTATAATCCTTTTATTAATATACATTATATGAATTATTGTTTTTTAGTAAAAAAAAAAATTAGTCTGGATTTAATGTTATTTACGGAGCTTTAAATGAGGTGAAATCTGACAGATATCAGAACAATCTAATGAAATTATCAAGATAAATATGAGAGTAATATGTATAGTAGAAAAGCCGTAACTTGAAATCCTGAAAAGAAAAAGAAATGAAGAAGAAGAAGAACAAGGAACCTATTTCGTCTGAAAAGGAATTTCTAGGATAGAATTCGATAAAGAATACTAGTGGGTGACCTATGCTCCTCCATGAGTGGTAACTGGCGTAAGTAAGTAAGATATGAGCCACATGAATTATTCGACTTATGTGAGGGCCCAAACGGAAGCAGGTGGTTTTCTTAGGGTGCCACACCCGTAGCCTTCGACCTAAAAGTCTGATCCACAAAGTAGTGGAGCAACGTTTGGAGATGCAGTCCTATGGTAGTCGCTGATTAACAATTAATTCATACACCATTTGTTCCTTCAGGATCCTGGAGCCCATGTACACCATTGGTTTGTAATCAGGGTTTCCCAACTCCCCTTAGTAAACTTTCCGTGTCCACCAAACCGGTTAAAGCGCCGAACATTCGCTTTTCATCCTCTCAATTTTGTAAACTACACCTTTTTCGTGAAAGGACAATGAGTAGTACTTCCCTGGCAATGGTTGTATGCACGTGGCCATATGCGAGCATTTCAAGAGGGAGGGCTGACTCTTCCGACCCTCGGCCGTAACAGGGATTCTTCAATAGTGCTCATTCACGACTCTTCACGCAGCTCTCAAACCCAAGACCCTCGGTTTCACACACGAACGGGAACGTGAATGCTCACTACTGAAATGTCTTATACTAGGGGAAACGGTAGCCTAGTGCTTCCACGTTTTCAGTGGTAGTCTAACTTGGATCGGCTCATGATTTCAATCATATTTTCAGCGCTTAATCTTTCTCAATATCACTGCTGCTGCTGCTGCTGCTGCTGCTATTATTTCGATCCATTTTCTTCTCATTCTGATAATTTCATCTCGTCATGTTGAAATGATACAGTAGTTTGAGTTAACATATATTTGTTTTCTTCCAAACTCTACAATAAATCTGTCTTTATGTATTTATATAGTTTTTTTTTCTAAAAATTATTTTTAGTGTGATCCAGAAGATCCAAGTGCAGCAGTGTTAAAAGAACCATGGCATGTGAAATGTGAACGTATACGTGCTACATCACCATGGGGTAGTTTACCAGGATGGATTTTAACTAGTGCTATTGTAAAAGTTGGTGATGATTTAAGACAAGAACAATTAGCTTATCAATTACTTACTGTGTTAAAAGTAAGTTTTATCTTATTCCAACTGTTTTATATTCGTATGTTCTTAGATTGCTTTTTTCTTTGACTAATAATTTATATCTTATTGTTTACTTAAACATGAAATCCTATTATGAGTTCATGTGTTTTCTGATCATCTCGAACTTTGTGACTGTATTCAACATGCATCTACAACAATACTATTTTTTCATAACCAAAGGAAGAAGTTAAAAAATGTCGGCTGTAAAAATGGCACACCTTACCTTGTCATACAGATTTCTATCTTAGACGATGTAAAGTTTGATAAATACTGAGCTAACATTATGAAAATAAAATACTCGCAAAATAGGTCGTATATGTCTGACCTCAAACAATTATCCTTGGTACTCCGCGGTTACACTGACAGATTGTCAAAATCCACACTTAATCCTATTTCAATTCTAGGCCCATCAAGAAGAAGTAGCTTTGCACAATGTGGCTAACCGAAAGGTGACAATGATTATCTTGTCTCTGACAACACTCCGCTTCATCTGCTGCACAAGCCTCGTGTCAGATACCATAGTTAACGGACTAACCAATGAAACTAAATATAGCAAGTCTTGCATTTTGACAGTATAACTGATGTCAGTTCTTGATAAAAATCTCAACTCCAATTTTAACTCTAAATCCTAATCTCAAATCTTTACACTAAATGATAACTTTCTTTTGACCCTTGTTAGTAGCAGTAGTAGGTGAGTATTCTCAAGATGGCCTCCAGATGCCCTGGTACAACCGAGAGTGGGGAGAGTCAGCTCTCCCTCTCTAAATGCTTTCACATGACCACGTGCATACAACCACTGACAGAGAAGTCCAAATCACTGCCTTTACGCACCACGGCTGTTTTTTACGAAATCGAGAGTACGAAAAGCGAATGTCCAGTGCTTTAACTAGGTTGGTGGATACGGAAAGTCCACTTAAGGCGGAAACTTTGTGGACTACGAAATCCATCATCCAGAAGATAGAAGTGTTTATTAACAGTTGTCTTATTGTTTTCTTTTATTTTAACACATAGATATTGGTACAAGGAGGCACCAAATATATATGCGCCATACAGATCTCATTTGATATGTCTGACGGTTATAATACTGCCCGGGTGCCCAAACAGAAGTAGGTGGTTTTCCTAGGGGCCACACTTCGAACCTTCTACCTAAACGTCTGATCCACAAGGCAGTGAGGCATCGTAAGGAGATCAAGTCCCATGGTAGCCGGTGACCAACGATTGGTTCATACTCCATTTGTTCGTTCAGGATCCTGAAGCCCATGTGCACCATTGGTTTTGGATCCGGTTAAAGCCGGTGCCGGATATTCGCTTTTCGTCCTCTCATTTTCGTAAACAACACTCGTGATGCGAGAAGGCAGTGAGTAGTACTTCCCTGGTAGAGGCTATATACGCGTGACCATATGAGAGTATTTCGAGAGGGAGTGCGGACTCTCCCCACTGTCGGCCGTACCAGGGAATTCGGGGGCTATTAACCGTTGTCTGTGTAAAATACTTCGGATCCGTTGACCAGACACTATCAGTAACAACTTGCTGTGGGAAAGAAAAAACCTGATCCCAGTGGAGGAAGAAATAAGCTTGTCCTATCTACCTCGATCTTGATTAGTTATTGTTGGCCTTTAACCTGTCACTGTCTACTTCTTTCTTTTGATTGTATGTCGCATTGATTCTATTCTTGGTTTTATATTTATGCATGATTCCTCTAAGTGATTGATTAACTGGATAATATTTGTTACTGTTAGCACAAATTAAGCGTTACACAGACAGATTTAATCGAATGGAAATTACAGTAACAAAATGTACGGTGTGTACTAATCGATCGATTGATCAAAAAAATCATTCCAACCATGTTTATGTAGTGGTGTAACTCAAAATCAATCAATAGCCTGTAATCTGTTCACATCCTATCAAAATTCAACGTTATCCTATTGTATTAGAAAGACATCAATTTATTTCTGTTTATTTATTTATTTAAACACATAAACATTGGAACAAAGTTGCACCAAATAAATATGTGCGTGCCCGGCTGTCCAGACTGAAGTAATTGGTTTTCTTAGAGGGCCATACTCGTAGCCTTCAACCTAAAGGTCTAACCCACAAAGCACTGGAGCAACGTAAGGAAATACAGTCGCATGGTAGCTGGTGACCAACAATTGGTTCATACACCATTTGTTCCTTCAGGATCCTGTATCCCATGTACACCATTGGTTTGGAACCAAGGTTTTCTAACCTCCCTAGGTTTCTTTTTTTCTTTAAAAGAATAATCTCGATAATATTTCTCTAACTTATATTATGTCAATAACATTTACTGTGATCTGATTAGTTGTTATCGTTTCTAGTATCTGATAACTTTGTTGTGTTTCAACGTTATTGAATGTGAATATTATAAACTGTGTTGTTTCATTTCAGTTTCCAACTTCTATTTGGAATATATGTGTATAAATATCGTGATCGTTCACCCTTCTCTATCTTATATTATCATATAGACTATTAAGGTTGAACTGTTTCTATTGTTCAGATATCCGATCTATTCAAGTCCTTATTCGTTCTTGTTTGTATTAGAAGATTCTTAATTATAAACAGAGATGAATGATGGCTAGCAGTGAAACCTAGGACTCGCGTTTCGTCCTATTTGAAACTTAGTAGCTGGATGTATTTGCATCTCAAATTTGATATTCGACCCGGGAATCATACACAATACCTTTCACTTCAAACATCATCGCGTTATTTATTTAGCTACTGAGTCCATATAGCCACTAGTTTGTACAGTAGCTTAGTAGATAATGCGATGGTGTTTGAAGCGAACGGTACTGGGTTTGAGTCCCGAAGTAGTCGTTAACTCAGGGACACAGGTACACCCAACTGATGAGTCCCGAATAGGACAAAATGCGCGTCCTGAAATCAGACATGGTCATTTCCCTGGTTCATAGTTTCTAATGCTATAAAGACTGTTTTATGTGTTTGATCTCATTACTGATCGATTTTTATGATTGAAAATCAATTAATAAATTTATTGCTTCATTTTTCTAAGTTCATCTAAATTACTTCTTATTATTGATCTTAAACTTCTTTTCAGATCACGAGATTTTAGGTGTTACTTTCTACTAATTTGTTTTCTATCATATTGATTATGATACTAGAAATGTTGAACTTTCAAGATTTATGTGCTCACTAGTGACTAGCTTCGTGATGGAATTCTCGGATTTCTAGTAAGAAGTCGTGACCAGTGGAGCGAATCCATTTCAGGTAGAAACAGGTATCTAGTTCAGTACAATGAAAAATGGTCGCGAAATTTTGTGGATTGATTGAAGTTAGACATTAACACCGTTGGATGCCGGCTCTGTTGTCCGAAGGTTGAGCATCTCACACGAAACCGAAGGTCCTGGGTTCAAATCCCACGAGCAGCATCGTGGATGCGCACTGCTGAGGAGTCCCACAGTAGGATGAGACGGTCGTTCAGTGCTTCCAGGTTTTTATTGATGGTCTAACATCAATCAGTCCATGATCTCAATCAATAACTTAATAATCTCTATAACCCTGTACTGATAATATGGATAATCATTCTTCATATTTTTATTATATAATAATTAGACACTTTGATTATTCTTTCCCTCATTGTTCGTTTTCGTATCACTTATGATGACTAAGTTATGGTGTATACTATATTGTAACTTCGTTTTTTTTTCTATCAGATAGTTAAAATATTATTATTATATACCTTTTGAGTCATGAATGAATAGGAGTACAATAGAAAGTTAATCTGTTTGTTATCTTCACTACTACTGAGACATTAGTTAATAGAAAGGTTACTGGTCCTACACTCAATATAGACCAATATGTCAATAATTGAATTGAAAAAATACAAATGCTTCCATAATAAACAGTCTGATCATACCAGCCACAATACAATTCAAGAATCTTTTATTTTCAAAAGAGATATAATATTTATCCTTATCAAAGCCGTAATCTTCTTTCCAACCTATAATCAAAATGACCGATAACACTTAGAAATACTAATTCCTACTTCTCTAACAGTGGAATCCAGATCGCGCATTTCGTCCTATTTGGGACTCATCAGCTGGATGTATTTACATCTCAAAGTTGATATTCACTCTAGGAATCGAACTCAGCACCGTCCGCTTCAAACGCCATCACGTTATCCACTTAGCTACTGAGTCCTGATGAGACGTGCGGCCTGGATTCCACTGCTAGCCACTATCCGTCTTTGTATATAAGGCTTGTAAATTAAGGCTATATCGAGGCAATACGCACAAAATGCACATATGCCAATAAGAGACTAATCAATTGCAGTCCTAAGCATCAATGGGAAGACTCAAGTAAACAATACCAAGTGAATTTATTGCCAGTTGGTTATTCATAGCTACTTTTGATCTGTTGATGCATAGTTGGAATTTTTTCATTTTACGATGCGATACAGTCTAGTATATCTGCAATATAAACCAATATATATATATGAAATATATTACTAATAGTAGCTAATTGTTGACTCAAGAAAGAATGTAGAGAAAAGTTTTCAAATATTGTGTCAACATTAGCTTAACATGTACTGATGTAAGATTAACTGTGTAGGTCAGAAGGATAATCGGTCAAGTCTAGGACACCCTAAGTTGTAAGAGAGATGATAGTGTAAATGCGGAATAAACTGAATTAGAATTAGAATTCTAATTAATAACTTATGCATATGATTTTGGTTCGTGTTCAAAGATACAATATTTCGAATTGAATATAACCTTATCATTTGGACAATATTGAAACATTATAAACCAACTATTTAATAATTACATAATGAAGATAGATATTGTTGAGATCACGTGCCGATTTATGTTAGATAACTACTGAATAGCTGTTTTGTCATAGTATGGGATGAAGTGCGTATCCCCAAATGTCCTGGTACGGCCGAGAGTGGGGCGAGTCCACTCTCCTTCTCGAAATGCTCTCATATGGTCACGCGTATATAGCCTCTACCAGGGAAGTACTACTCACTGCCTTCTCGCATCACGAGTGTTGTTTACGAAAATGAGAGGACGAAAAGCGAATGTCCGGCACCGGCTTTAACCGGATCCCAAATCAATGGTGCACATGGGCTGGCTCCAGTATCCTGAGGGAACGAATGGCGTATGAACCAATCGTTGGTCACCGGCTACCATGGGACTTGATCTCCTCACGATGCTCCACTGCATTGTGGGTCAGACGTTCAGGTCGAAGGCTCGGGGTGTGGCCCCTTAAGAAATCACCTACTTCGGTTTGGGCACCCGGTCAGTATCACAGCCCTCACACATATCAAATGAGATCTGTGTGGTGCATATGTATTTGGTGCCTCCTTGTACCAATACCTATGTGTTAAAATAAATGAAACACTGTGGCTCAGACTCTGAATCTTCCGTCTTATGATGAACACATAACCTCTAGAATACTGACTCGAAACCCAGTATCACAGATTGATTGAGTTTAGAGTTGTACACTTTTGGATTCTGGTTCATTGATCTCTAAGTCAAGCGATCGTGCAATAAATTAAAGTTCCTGAGTTCGATTCCCTGTATATGCATTGTTTCATACTAGGAAGAAAAACAGCTGTTTAGTACCTTCAGATTTTGAATAGTTTTCAAAATTGAATTAATTTTCTATCAGTTTTAAACATTTCACCGTTTTTTAATCATTCATTCTTGTATTGTAAATTAACATTCTATATTTATCCATTTTTTTTTCACTAATAGAATATTTGGTCAATGGAATATGTTCCATTATGGTTACGTCCATTAAGTGTAGTTGTTATATCATCTGATAGTGGTTTTATTGAACCTGTTCCTGATACTGTATCATTTCATCAAATTAAACGACATGCTCATTTATCATTATTAGATTATATGCATCGTGAACATGGTGGTGATAATTCTGAAGAGTTTTTAACTGCTCAACGTAATTTTTTACATAGTTGTGCTGCTTATTGTTTAGTTGGTTATTTATTTCAAGTTAAAGATCGGTAAGTTATTGATTTTGTTTTGTTTTGTTTTGTTTTTTGTTTCTCATTCACTTCAGAATGTCAGTCGAATTATTTATTGATTTAAACACATAAATATGATTAAAAGGAGGCATTAAATTTGTGTGTGTGTGTGTGTTTTGAGATACTCCCCGATCGCCCGAACTAAAGCACATGGTTTTCTCAGAGGTCTACTTTCCTGAATCTTGGACTTAGAAGTATAATCCATCAAGTAGTAGATCAGCATTAGGAGATGTAGTCCCATGATAACCGATGACCAACAATAGGTTGATACGCCCTTTTTTTCCCTCAGCCCATGTGCACCATGAGTTTGTAATCAGAGTATTTTAACTCCCCTAGGTAGATGTTACATGTTGACCAACCCGATCAAAATGCCAGACATTCTCCTTCCACCCTCTCGATTTCGTAAGCAAAATCCTAACAGCGATAAGGCAGTTGACAAGACTTCTCTATCAGTAACTGTATACACGTGGTCATGTGAAAACACTTCGAGAGGGAGAACGGATTCTCCTTACACTCGATGATACCAGTCATCTACGTAAATGAATGTTGATTTATGGCCTCATCAAACCAAATTTCACATACCTACACAGAATGGATACTAATAAGTGCGCGTGGTGGGTCAAGGGATGGCTAAACTTGACAAGGAGTGATATATGAACTATTGATAGGATTAATAGAAAGATAGGTTATTCTAAACTAGTATACAATTGTGTGTTGATTCGGTTAGCCAAATAAATTCTTTACTTATTCTTCACATTTTATTTTTAAGTAACTAGGCTCATGTATTGAAAGAGAGTGTATCAGTATGAGTTCTCGGTCATGACTCATCACAACATAAGTAATCCTACGTTATTCATTTCTTAGTTCTACACTATTCTAGGAGTACTTTCAAGACATCCACATGCAATTGTGAATGATAGATATTTCCGTAGTTTGTTATTTTTTGTTCTAAATCTCAATCATAATCAATGTATAAATGCACGTTGGTTCAACCACATCACCACGACGAGATGAATATAATAAGAACTGTTGTAAAAGAGATTGGAATAGTATAGTAATAGTAATAATCATAAGAAAGACTGAACATTGAGAATCGAATACGAAAAGACAGAATATAAAGAATACTGTAAATCAAAGCTGAGAAAAATATAAAAAGTGGATGCATCTGTGCTATTTTGACAGATTCTAAACTATACCATCCAAAGTTTCTGATTACTAATTATGAGGATCTTAACTAGGGAATTTGTATCTATCGATATGACTTAGACTGATGTCATGTCTTGTTTTAAACAAGTATACTCATTCACCATGTACTTGGATATGTGAAGGATAATGATACAACTCTGTTGCTTTAATCAAAGTCGATAGAACGTAATTCAAACCCAAGACATAATGACTAAAAGTTGAACGTTTTAACTATTAAGCTATTGCTCTATATATGTCTTGATTTGATCATTCCTAGCTTTCCCCCCAACCTATTCTTAACTCGATAAACATCTCATTTGTAAGTAAACGATTTATTGTGTAATATATGTTGACACAATTACCATATATCCACTAAAATGTAACTAATGTAATTCTAAGCAGAGTTTGATGGTGACTAGCATTAGAATTCACGATGCATGTTTTGTCCTATTTTTTAAAACTCATCAACCAAATCTACTTATATCCGAAAGTTTATATTCACTCTATGACTCAAACCCCATTGATTACCTTTTGCATTAAATTCTATCGTATTATCTATTTATCTATTCAAATCCAGATTAACTACTAGGTTGTATAATGTAAATTTTCATCACTCACTCACTCAATCAGTCAAGTCGGCTACAACAGAGGATTAGTCACATAGATGTATCGGTCCAAGTTCCTATACCGCATTAGGTTTCATCACTATTATTATGATTATGATTATTATTATTTTATTTTAACACATAAATATTGGTACAAGGAGGCACCAAATGGATATGCGCCACACAAATCTCAATTGATTTGTGTGAGGGCTGTGATACTGCCCGGATGCCCAGACTGAAGCAGGTGGTTTTCTTAGGGGGCCAAACCAGGAGCCTTCGACCTGAAGATCTGATCCACAAGGCAGTGGAGCATCGTGAGGAGGTGCAGTCCCATGGTAGCCAGCCGGTGACCAACGATTGGTTCATACGCCATTCGTTCCCTCAGGATACTGGAGCCAGCCCATGTGCACCATTGATTTGGGATCCGGTTAAAGCCGGTGCCGGACATTCGCTTTTCGTCCTCTCATTTTCGTAAACAACACTCGTGATGCGAGAAGGCAGTGAGTAGTACTTTCCTGGTAGAGGCTATATACGCATGGTCACGTGAGAGTATTTCGAGAGGGTGAGCAGACTCTCCCTACTCTCGGCCGTACCAGGGCATTTGGGGGCCCTATTATTATTATTATTATTATTATTATTATTATTATTATTATTATTATTATTATGAGTTATGCTATTATCCTCTTGTTTATCATCTTCTTTTCTTTATTTTCTTTAGACATAATGGTAATATATTATTAGATAATCATGGTCATGTTATACATATTGATTATGGTTTCATGTTATCTTCATCACCGGGGAAAAATTTAGGCTTTGAAACAAGTCCATTTAAATTAACATTAGAACAAATTGATGTTATGGGTGGTTTAAATAGTGATTTATTTGAATATTTTAAATTTCTTTTATTACGTGGTTTATTAGCTGCACGTAAACATATGGAACAGGTTAGTTTATTGAATATTCATTTATTTTATTATTGTTTATTTATTTGAATCTTCTCATTGTTACTTAAGACTGTAATTGATCCAATCTCTTGTTGGTTATGTGTGTACATCCTGTGCAGATTGCCTCCATATAACCTTACGTCACAAACATTATAAGCAAAGATGAATAGTGGTATTCAGTTTGACGTACGTTTCGTCCTATTTAAGACTCGTCAGCTGGATGTATCTACATCTCAGAATTCATGTTCACTCTGGGACTCGGACCCAGTACCGTTTGCTTCAAACGCCATCATGTTATTCATTTAGCTACTGAATCCTGATAGCCACTTGCTTGTGCAGTGGAGTGAAGTTTAAATTCACTTGGTATTGTTTGACTTGTATCTTCCCATTGAGGTTTTTAAGACTTACAATTGATCAGTCTGTTATTGGCATATGTGCATACTGTGTGTATTGCCTTAAGTCACAAGTATTATAAACAAAGATGGATAGTTAGTTGTTTACCTTCCTTCATTCATTTTGATTTATCTCAATATATTTTTGTTCATTGTTCAATTCAGCTATGATATTATACACTTCTTATGGTATACAAAATTGAATTATGTATATAAGAAGATTGAAACGTAAAAAGAAGTTTAATTAGTGAATACGATAAATAAGTAGTAGTACTCGAAGGTGTACAATCCCATAGAGAAAACCAGGCTGGTTTTCGACCTGGACGTGGTTGTATTGATCAAATATTCACATTACGTCAGGTCCTAGAACATAGACACACATTCAGACGCCCCACAATGGTAGTATTTCTCGACCTTAAGGCGGCATTTGACTCTGTTGATCGTGAGGTTCTATGGCAGTGTTTGTCACTGAAAAGAGTACCAAAGAAGTACATCAACCTTATAAAGGCTCTCTACTTGAACACAACTGGTCAAGTGAGAGCTTATGGTGAACTGTCATCAGAATTGATTACCTCAAGTGGTGTTCGTCAGGGCTGTCCACTCTCTCCATTCTTGTTTAACTTTGTCGTTGACGTCCTTTTAGAGATGACACTTTCCTCATCTAAATTTCCAGGAGTTGAACTTCTACCGGGAACTCCACTTGTTGACTTAGAATATGCCGATGACATAGTTCTATTTAGTGAAGACGCTGACAGAATGCAGAGTCTACTGACCACTCTAAGCAACAATGCAGGCATGTTCAGCATGCGATTCTCTCCCTCGAAATGCAAAATGTTGCTTCAGGATTGGGTTGCGTCGACACCCGAACTAGTGATAGGGAGTGAAGTATTTGAGAGTGTCGACCGCTTCACTTATCTCGGAAGTCTCATCAGCTCTTGTGGTTTGATGTGTGACGAAATCTCAGCACGGATACAAAAGGCTCGACTAGCTTTTGCCAACTTGCGTCATTTGTGGCGTAGGCGAGATATCCGTCTATCAACCAAAGGACGTGTTTACTGCGCAGCAGTTCGTTCCGCCCTACTTTATGGCAGTGAAACATGGCCAGTAAGAGTCGATGATATTCGTAGGTTACTAGTATTTAACCATAGATGTCTTCGAAGCATTGCTCGTATATCCTGGGACCACCGAGTAAGTAATGCAGTTGTTATGAAACGGCTACTAGGTAAGGATGGCAAATCAATTGAGGAAGTACTGAAACTTAATCAGTTGAGATGGCTGGGACATGTGTTGCACATGCCCGACCACCGACTGCCCCGACATGCTATGTTTATGGTGTAGGAGTAGGTTGGAAGAAATCTAGGGGCGGCCAGACCAAAACATGGCACAAATCCATGAAGTCACTGACAAGTGGACTGAGTCATGTTGGTAGGTGTAGACTACCTGGTTGGGGACCGCGAGACGATAGCGACCGATGGTTAGAGACCTTGAATGACAAGGCTGAAAATCGTTTGCAATGGCGCAGGTGCATCCACTCTCTGTGTTCGCCCAAACTCTAATCTTTTGAATTCTCCATGTCCTTTATTTTCTTTCCCAATTTATTCCACTGGACTATACTCCTTTAATAACATCATCAAACCTTAATGTCCCCTATCTCTACTGATACTTTCAGTACCTCTACCACTATGGGATTTGAATTGATAACTGAATCTCTGTGCTAATGTGGTATGGCAACTCGAACTGATGTATGTACGTACGAAGTTCCACGTTGTTACTGACTGACTGACTCAAATCGAAAGGAAAAAAGCAAGGGGAGGTGATTATTGATTATAATTCAAACAACTTTTGATATTATCCAATCGTATCATGCCACGTTGATATTTTAGGAAGCTCCATCATGTACTGATTAGACAGAATCTTCTTGAGTCTTTTAGAGCCTCTGGAGGTATGATCATGGTTTTCGAAGTCATCTCAACAGATATGTCTATTCAGAAATTTAAAACAGTTAGTCCCTTTGATAAATTTTGATAATGCAATGAGAAGACGAAGTTTATCAGAATTATGTGATATATTAGTGCAATACATTTCGAACAATCTGATCACACATATGCTTGTTAAGAGCATTTATATATAAAAATAAAAGGTCAACTAGACAGGTTAAGGGTAAGTCATGACAAAGGAAAAATATTAAAGTACACAAAACAAATGTGATTACCACTCTGGATAATAAATCAGTATTACCAGGGTAGGTTTAGTGTAAGGACAAATTGTTTTTGAACACATAAAGGGGGTTTTAGTTTCCGTATAGCCAAGGCTTCAATAAACCTTAGTATACGTCCTTGAAGGCTTTTGTATAACACTACAAATGCTGATTTGATGTCGACCTTATGACCCGTCTCAATCAAATGTTTCGCAATGGAGGATGATGTCTGTCTATCCTGTGATCTTATTTGACCATTGGAATCCATTTGTTTTTGCAACCATTTTGGTATGTGTTCACCCATCCTTAATTGCAAATCACGATTGCTCCTCCCTATATATGTGTTTCCACACATACATGTAAATTGATAGACACAATGGGATGTGACACAATCGCTTACGTGCTGTTTGGGCTTTTGGTGAAACATAGACCTTGTCTTTTCAATAATGACAAGTTGGGCTGCATAAAATGTCCGGTTGATGGCTAATTTAAGTCTCCGTTTCAACATGAGACTATTTGTGTCGCCTCTGAATGGCAACGTAATATAAACTCGCTTTTTGGGTGCCAGAAGCATCATAGATCTAATCGTATTGCAACCCTTCCAGCGGTTTATGAACTTCAAGGGATAACCATTATTCACTAACGTATCAGTCAGGAGCTTCGTCTCGACTTCAATAGTATCACTAGTACAGATACGATTGATTCTACTGAATAAGCTCTTTATTAAACCGCGTTTGTAATGAATAGGGCAGTGACTATGAAAATTAAGGTATTGCCCTGTCCATGTTGGCTTTTTGTAGATAGCACGTTGGATAGAACCATCATCTCTCCTACTGATCAAGATGTCTAGAAAAGGAAGTCTGTTGTTCTTCTCTTCTTCACATGTAAGAGAAATGTAGTTTTGACTACTATTGAATTCTTTTAACAAGCGGTTTATGTCATCACCTTTATCCCCTATGATTATTATATCATCAACATATCGTTTATACAATCCCATCTTTTGAATTGAGTTTTCAACTAAATTTTCCACATATCCCATGAACACATCAGCCAACAATGGTCCTAGAGGACTCCCCATAGCTACACCATCTATTTGTCGGAAGTGCTCACCTTCAAAAGTGAATTTTACATTATCTGTACACAATAATAATAAATCTTTAAGAGTGCTGACAGGAAATGGAAGAGGAAGGTTATTCAAAGAAATATAGTCACACAAAATATCAACAGTTTTCCTGAGAGGTACATTTGTAAATAAAGTATTCACGTCGAAAGAGCACATTGTCTTTGTCTTTATATTTATGTTCTTTAAGCAATTAATCAATTCAAATGAGTCAGTCAACGAATACTTACAATATTGATTTCTGATAAGATTTAGTACTTTTGTAAGCCATTTCGCAAGGTTGTGTGTAGGCGACCGACACATTGATAGAATTGGGCGGAGGGGAATATTGTTGGCCATTGGACCATTGTTGGCTGATGTGTTCATGGGATATGTGGAAAATTTAGTTGAAAACTCAATTCAAAAGGTGTAGACTACCTGGTTGGGGACCGCGAGACGATAGCAACCGATGGTTAGAGACCTTGAATGACATGGATCAAAATCGTTTGCAATGGCGCAGGTGCATCCACTCTCTGTGTTCTCCCAAACTCTAATCTTCTGAATTCTCCATGTCCTTTATTTTCTTTCCCAATTTATTCCACTGGACTATACTCCTTTAATAACATCATCAAACCTTAATGTCCCCTATCTCTACTTATACTTTCAGTACCTCTACCACTATGGGATTTGAATTGATAACTGAATCTCTGTGCTAATGTGGTATGGCAACTCGAACTGATGTACGTACGTACGAAGTTCCACGTTGTTACTGACTGACTGACTCAAATCGAAAGAAAAAAAGCAAGAGGAGGTGATTATTGATTGTTGATTATAATTCAAACAACTTTTGATATTATCCTATCGTATCATGCCACGTTGATATTTTAGGAAGCTCCATCATGTTCTGATTAGACAGAATCTTCTTGGGTCTTTTAGAGCCTCTGGAGGTATGATCATGGTTTTCGAAGTCATCTCAACAGATATGTCTATGTAGATTGAAATCTCTAGCAATTTGTCTTGTTTAGGATTTCTTATTTATCATTTAACTTTGACTTAGTATTCTAGTACAGACACATGATATCTATATATATTAGTTTAGTCTGTTGATTCCCCTGATTGGATGTCAGTGAGTCACAGGCTCGAACTCTCGTTCATTCATTCACTATCTCAGTTCGGTAGTATAATTACGTTTTACACGTTAACATACATGTTTATATGATCAATAACGTTACGTCAAGTTTTGAGCACATTCGTTTGAATACCTAAATATCCTAGAATTAAATGAAATTTAAGATTCTTGAACAAAAACTATGCATAGAATAGATGGAATGTAGCTAGCAGTAGAATTCAAGTCTCTCGTCTTTCTTTATGTAAGACTCACCAGCCAAATGCACCAGGACCGCTCTTATGTAAAGCCATAAGAAAAAAGATGAAGAGAAATTTCTTCCCTCGATTTGTTCTTTTTTTCTTTTACCAAATATCGAAACGGACGGACTCTTTCGAAGTAAAGACCGGCATCAGGCAAGGTTGCTTACTCTCACCCTTTCTTTTTCTCCTGGTGATCGACTGGGTCATGAAGACGTCAACATCTGAAGGGAAGCACGGGATGCAGTGGACATCTAGGATGCAGTTGAACGATCTAAACTTGGCAGATGATCTGGCAACTCAACAACAAATGCAGGAGAAGACGACCAGTGTAGCAGCAGTCTCAGCAGCGATAGGTCTCAATATACACAAAAAGAAAAGCAAGATTCTCCGATACAACACAACATACACCAATCCAATCACAATTGACAAAGAAGATTTGTAAGATGTAAAAACCTTTACATATTTGGGCAGTATCATCGATGAACACGGTGGATCTGATGCAGATGTGAAGGCACGGATCGGCAAAGCAAGATTAGCATATTTACAACTGAAGAATATCTGGAACTTAAAACAATTAGCAACCAACACCAAAGTCAGAATTTTCAATAAAAATGTCAAGACAGTTCTACTGTATGGGGCGGAAACTTGGAGAACTACGAAAGCCATCATCCAAAAGATACAAGTGTTTATTAACAGTTGTCTCTGTAAAATACTTCGGATTGGTTGGCCAGACACTATCAGAAACAATGTTCTATGGGAGATAACAAACCAGATCCCAGCGGAGCAAGAAATCAACAAGAAGCGCTAGCTAGAAGTGGATACGACACACATTGAGGTAGGCACGCAACTGCTTCACTTGGAATCCTTGACGCCAAAGGAGAAAAGGATGACCAACGAACACATTACGCTGGGAAATGGAGACAGACATAAGAAAAATGAACAAAATGGGAATTTTTACGAAATTCACCTATGATTTACATATGACTTTATAATTTGATCCTATTTGTTCAATGAATACATGTTATTTATATCATTAGAAATTATTAATACTTATCTCATAAGTAGTATATTCAGTCATTCATTCATTCATTTAAATAATTAAATAATTTCTTTTTTTTCTTTTTTTGGATGTTGTTGTTGTTGGGGTTGGGTGTTGGTCTATAGATTTGTGTATTAGTTGAAATAGCTCATGCTACCTGTCCACAATTACCATGTTTTGCTCGTGGTAATAGTTCACGAACTATTACTGATTTACGTCAACGATTTCAATTATCACGTACAGAAGAACAATTAAAACAATTAGTTGATCAAATGGTTCATAATTCATTAAATTCAGTTACAACAAAATTATATGATAGTTTTCAATATTATACAAATGGTATACAATAATCATCATCATCATCATCATCACTTCATTCTATAATCAAAATAAGATTGTAATCCCAGTGACTAAAAGATTAATATTATCTCTTAATTATACAAATGAATAAGGAACAAGAAGAAGAAGAAATGTGGTGGTGGTGGTGGTGGTGATGGGGGGCAAACATGTAAACTATGGTAAGAATTGATTGAGTATCATTACTATATTCATTTTCTTGTTTATCCATGTTATCAACAACTGTGATAAATTTTTTTTCTTTTTACAAAGAAATGATTTCAATATGTTGCACAATTTTGATCAGATTTATCTGTCTCTGTATGTGTGTGTATTTGAGAGAAGGGGGGGAGGGGGAAGGAATTAATGATGTGTGTTTTATGCTCAATTGTGAATAATTTTACAGGTTATTATCTATTATTTTTTTCTCTTGTCTATTGTTTCATATCCCCACTCCTATATATATACACACACATACAACTGTAAACATTATTGTAATGGACAACCATGTGAAGTGATGCCTTATCATTTCTTCTTTTTTTTAGCTTGTTTATTTCTTCCCTATTACAATTTGTTTTTTTGGTTTGGATTACCCTGGGGCATATTTGGGGTTATTTTTGCTTTATTGTTTTTACTATTTCTCTCACCACTACCACTACCACCAACACCATCACCTTCCACTGAAAATACTATATATGATAATGATTATGATGTGCATGTGTTTTGTGTAAGTGAGAAGTTTGAATTCCTCTATAAAAAATTCTTTATCTTGGCTTTCATGTCTTCCCCGCCCCAACCAACCACACACTCACCTACCCACCCACTCAGAAATAAAACACCATCACTGTACTACTTCATTAAGGCAACTAATTCATGAACAGATTAATACATGTTCTTTATCGTTATGTATATGTACATGGTAAATGGTACAATAATTTTTCATATATATATATATATATATATACAAAGAGAAGAATGACATGATTTTACGTATATTTTATATTTAATAATGGAATAATAGTAATAATAATAATATTTTTTCATCCTCATTTCAGATATTGATTGTTTTGTTTTGTTTTTTTTCTCTTTAAATCTTTTCTCTCTTTTCTTTTCTTTATTTTGTATGTTTTTATGCATTAATTTATTTTCTTTCTAATTGGTTAATAATGTGGTTTTGATCCTTCCCCCACCCCACCCCCTCTCTCTCTTTTATTCTTTTAATTTATCTCTGAGGTACTTGGTTCACACTTTTGTATTGGTTACTAATGATGAATATTGGATTAATTTATAATGTGTATGCCTCCATGTGTGTGTGTGTGTACGTATGTATGTAAACAATATTATGGTAGAATAAATTAATTTTACACATTGCCTTGAAATATGTTTTTAATCATTTCAGTAATATGGATTAATCATAATCTACATATATCATCTAGACATTAGTTCATCGAATCAAATTGGCATATCATAACATTAGCGATAGCGATATGATCTTTATCAAGATCCTACTTACTGCCTTCTCGTATCACAGGTGTTGTTTACGAAAATGAGAGGACGAAAAGCGAATGTCTGGCGCTTGAACCGGATCACAAACCGATAGTGCACATCAGCTCTAGTATCCTAAAGGAACAAATGGCGTATGAACCAATCGTTGGTCACCGGCTGGCTACCATGGAACTGCATCTCCTTGCGATGCTCCACTGCCTTGTGGGTCAGACGTTCAGGTCGAAGGCTCGGGTTGTGGCCCCCTACGAAAACCACCTGCTTCGGTTTGGGCACCCAGGCAGTATTACAACCCTCACAGATATCAAAAGAAATCTGTGTGCCTCCTTGTACCAATATCTATGTGTTAAAATAATAATAATACCAACGTAGTAATAGTAGTAGTATCAGTGACATTAAGAAAAAATTGGGTATGGACAATATCATTCGAGAGTATATATATATATATATATATATATATATATATATATATATATATATATATATATATATATATATGATAATTTTAAAACTCAAAGTGTAAGGGAAGATGCATTTATATCATCAAAACCAGTTCGGAACCACCTCACCGAACGTATGCCCTGGTACGGCCGAGTGTTCTCAAGTGGCCAGGTGCATACAACTACTGACAGGGAAGTCCGACTCAATACCATCTCGCACTACGGGTGTTGTTCACGAAATTAAGAGAACGATTGTCCCGCGCTCTAACCAACTTGTTGGATACAGAGGATCCACCCAGGGGGCCCCTAGGAAAACCACCTGCTTCAGTTTAGGCACCCGTGCAGTATCCCAGCCCTCGCATAAATTGAATGATTTTCACGGCGCATATCTGTTCGGTACCTCCTTGTACCAATGTTTATGTGTTTGAGTAAATAAATCTTTCGAATCAGGTTCGATTCAAGCATACAATACTTAATGATTACAGAGTACGAGCATGTTCTGTGGCGGACTGTGAAGAACAATAATCGACAACACATCAACTGCTCGGATACTAATTAACTAGTCTGTATTTACTAACATTGCTCAATACAACTATCAGTGGCTTCAAAGAATGAGACTGTGTTTCAGTTTGAGCCACTTCTACTATTATTCTTACAAACCTAACTCAAAAAAGATTACTCATCGATGTAGGCGGTGATTGATTATACGTAATAAATATCCAGCCGTCTCAATCTATGGAGATTCGAAACCGACATTACGTTCAACCTTAAAATTACTCACTTGGTAGTCCCAATATATGGAATCAATGCATCAAACATATGATCAAATACTAGTAACCTACAAATATAATATTTGACATTATCTTAAATTAATAAGATTATGGATGGTGGAACATCAAATATTTAAATTTACTTTATTAATGAGGTGGAAAGCTTTGCTCAAATAATCATCTGTTAAATTCGAATTTACATGACAACTTTTCTGGCGCTCCGGAATAAGTAAATTGAAAAACTCCATTTTGTTATTGTGTTCTAAACTAAATGGCTAATTTCCAAGCTAGTTTGAAAATTCTAACATTCATTAATGTATACATCGATAAGACAGTATCCTATTTGATCAACGTACCATATTGCTCAGTCGATGTAAATAGGCTTTCTTGACTTCTCTGTTGTATCCCTTGATTTGGATAATAATCCATTGAGATTGATTGTATTCATTTGTAATATGCTGATATCCAAAAAAAAGGCAATAAAAACCTTTCAATGCAACCATTGAGTTCAGCATGTTGTTCTTAAAGAATACCGGCGATGCTTTGGACATAGCTATTATCGAAAAACATAGATTAAACTAGCTTACATTATTTCAAGCAATGCATTACTAAGGTTGAGTGTACTGATAAGTATAATCCCATATTAGAGTAATCCTTTGTAAAATGTGTCAAAATGACGATTGAAGAGCTACCGGAACTATTTCATGGATTATTATTATTATATATACTCTTATTGTGTAATTATTAGATAACGGGAATATTGCGTTTCTATACTTCGTTCATTGTAAGCTTCTATCCGATGCACCAATAATTACTATACATATTATTCCTACTTCATAGCTAATTAATTACTAATAGTTTGGCCAGTTTAGTAAATTTTGGCCTGTCTGTAGCTATGATCTATTTTATGATGCGGTGCGTGCAGTCTAGAATATGTATACATAAACCCACACGTGCTTCAAATAATTAAAGTTTAGCAAGTGACTTCATTTTCTGGTTAGCGTTTTTTTAGCGAGTTAGTTTTCTACAGGATGGGGTCGCTAACCCCATGCCCAACCCTCCTCCTTTATCCGGGCTTGGGACCGGCAGTAGCCCCCGGAAAGGGGCTACTATATGGCGCGGAAACCTGGAAAACTACGAAATCCATCGACCAAAAGATACAAGTGTTTATTAACAGTTGTCTACGCAAAATACTTCAGATCCGCTGGCCGGACACTATAAGCAACAACCTACTATGGGAGAGAACAAATCAGATCCCAGTGGAGGAAGAAATCAGGAAAAAGCGCTGGAAGTGGATAGGACACACATTGAGGAAAACACCCAACTGCGTCACAAGACAAGCCCTCATATGGAATCCTCAAGGTCGAAGGAGGAGAGGAAGACCAAAGAATACATTACGCCGAGAAATGGAGATAGATATGAGAAAAATGAACAAGAATTGGATGGAACTAGAAAAGAAGGCCCAGGACAGAGTGGGTTGGAGAATGCTGGTCGGCGGCCTATGCTCCATTGGGAGTAACAGGCGTAAGTAAGTAAGTAACTTCATTTCCGGACTCAAGGCTGAGAATTGAAAAAGCAGTGCGGAGTGGATCAACACGCTGAGCAAAAACACCAGTGGGGACTTGATAATAAAATCTAACAACCATATATTAAATGCTCAATTTGCAAAATGTCCATCAATTGTCTCAAAATGACTCAGACTTCATTGTTCTTGCATTTTCATACAAATTGCAGTCTGTATTCATTCTTAACTGTTCGATCTTCTTGTCTCTCTGCTGACAGACATTCTGTTCATGACTAATATCATATACTACTTATGTCTACATAAGTAGCCCACACCACAATACTAGCTCAAGGTTAATTGTGTCGGTTAGAGAGTATCAAGACCAAGGACACTAGATTATGGATGAAACGACAAACGTGGGTTGGGAAAATTGGAATCCCGACTGTCGAATTGAGTATCTCAAGGCAGTATGAAATACACTCATGTTGATCATTATTCGATGAGGTACACATTGATTAGCCTCTGTATCAAAATACGCTGACGATTTCATTTATACACTAATAAGCGTTCTCGAAATAGGACAGTGTATAAAGGCAAATTCAAACCGATCATTTGACCTGAATTAGATGCAATTAAACGATCTAGTTCAGAGAGTAGAACATCAAAACACTAAAGTGTTACTTTGAACATGTTGAAGATTTCTCAATGACTTGTTTTCATCTGGTCACTTATAGAATTATTTACTATTAACCATTACAATATATCAGTAATTGGATATGAATAATGCATCCACTTCC